CTGAGATCATTGTTTGGTACCATGTCTTGCCAACAGTCTTGATTGCAGATGCCGCCACTTCGAGAAGTTTTCGAATTCTGTATAATCACTATCTGAGATCATTATTTGGTACAATGCCTTGCTAGTAGCTTTGATTGCAGATGCCTCCTTCTGGCCACCAGCCTTGATTGTAGATGCCTTACCGGCAGCCTACTCTAACATCCCAAGCCAGTTTGAGAAGTTCATTCTCATTGTTTGCCAGCAACCTGCAAAGTTATTCTGCACACCTGCAGCCACGTCAGCTTTTCTAAATAAATAAAAAAATAAAAAGTTTTTTAAGGCCAATTTGTTAAATGGAAACTTGGGATGTCCGGGGAGTAAAATTTTCTCTCTTCACAAACCCAAGTTATGGAGTGCAAGATTGAGAAGTTCACTGAGTCTGTCTCTTTCGGTAAAGCTTTGTATAAGCATGACACCTACAGCATCAGCACCACAACCCAAGTATCAACATCAACATCAACATCACATAAACTACAAAATTCAAAGTCCAACTTCCATAGCTTTTGATTGGGTTCTGGTCACTCAAAACAGATCCATATGCCCTTGGAAGCACTCAACAGCCCAACGGTCCCGACAGTTGCTCATTGTTTCGTCATTCAAGCCGTCCATCGGGGTGTTGGTCATGTCTAACTGAATAAATTTCAGGGCATATGCCCCACAATCAGCACTACAATAGGAAGAAGACATTAGCATTAGAATCAACTTATAAAACAATTGTATTATGTAAGTTAGTTTTATACAAAATTTACCTTGAATCATTTGTTGGGATGGGAGAGCGCTTGACTGGCCATTTTTCGGTCAGTACTTGATCACCAAAGTGCTCAAACATCCCACTGTCACGCAACAGTCGCAGGAACAACATGGACAGTGGCTCCAACTCGATTTCCAACTGCCTATCTCGACAAATAGTTGGGTTGCAGTCCAGGATCTTCAGCAACCCCTCATCTAGAAGCGTGACGACTTCTATCCAGTGCATTTCCTTGATGTTAATGATGCAGTAAACTCTTTTAACCTTTGCCCAACTGTGGCCATATTTGGGCCTTTTCCCCCGTACATATTGCATCATCCTGTCATCAAACTTAAAATCATCAGAGACGAAGTCCAAGTCTTCTCTGGCCAATCTTTTTCGCTTGGCTCATTTTGTTACACCTCTACCAATGACCTTTTTCATTAAACTGCGATATGTTGTTACTAGCGTTTGGCCAAAGGCCACATCAATAATGACACAATCGGGATACATTAGATCACCATTACTGGTCTGTCGTAGCCGCATCAGTGCCAATACCTCATCAATGTGTTGTATCAAATAAAAACAACATGATAAGTATATAATAGCTCATGGAAAACATAAGCAAAAATAAAGAAAATTAAGTGAAAATAACTCACCGAGTCATCAAGCCAACTGCCCATCGTCAAAATCTTTTCAAACCAATCCCGTGGATAATCCCCAGTCTTACACTTTACATGGGCATCACTTCCAGATTCATTATAATAGGCATAGAAGAGTTTTTTCTTTTCCTCCTCATTGGCCTATACAAATCGACATTTGACTCCATTTTTGCTTACCCACTTCCTCCATTTGTACATCCCTGCTTCCTTAGCCTCCCGCCTCACCCTCCTCTATTATAACTGCCCCACTTCCTCTAGCAACCTCCTTAACCTCCTCCATTTTGGCTTCTTCCTCAATTTGTTTCTTTAGTTTCCTCTTCATTCCATGTGTTACTACGGTGTAAGGCGATTTCACAAACTTGCTCTTTCGGCTCTCTCTCTTTTCAGCCTAGGTTGCACTTCAACCGCCTTCAATACTCCACCAACTTCCTCCTCCACCCTACCAACTTTCTCTACCACCTTATCCATTTTCTCCTTCACATTTTCATCTGCTCTTTCATCTTCTCAAACCTGCCATAAACAGCTGTTGTAAAACTCTCAAACAAACTGTTTATAAGGTCAACCACCTCATTCTCCCGACCCCGATGCCTCGGCAAAGTGGTACTTGTTGTACCGATTTGCTGAGGCATGGAAACCTCTTCCTCCCTTTCCTCCTCCTCCCTCCCGTCGATTGCAGCTTCATCCTCATTGGCGTCAACCATATTCTCAAACAGTGGCCCTGCAACCGCCCTCACATGCGTGACCCCTTCTAGGTCCCACATCAGGCGGTCTATCCCTTTATTGCTTTCATCCTCCAATGGTTGGAAAGATGTGACATAATATTGTTCCGCTTCACCCCCAGTAGCGGTGAGGAAGGGACGGACGACCCCTTGCAATAAGAAACAAAATCAATCAGATTTAAGCGACATTTTAAAGCAAGTGCATATTCAAAAGCTTAATCCTTTAATCTTACTCGATCCGATTGAATTTCAATGTCTATTTGGTCTAATCCCAATGGGTACACTTCTGGACATGCCACCGCAACATCCTAGGAAATGTTTGTCGCACACCTGAAGTCTTCATCCTCCCCCTTGCCTTAGCCAGGACAGGGATGGCCTCATACATCAAAGCCTACATTGTAAAAAAACAATCCATATCATAATTCAAACACATATATTACAAAAAATATAACAAATATCTATTAATATTTACCTGCATTGCCCATGGGAAGCCAAACAAATTGTATGTGCTCGGTCTATTCTTCTCGGCCCATTGGGAGTGTTTTAACACCATGTCTTTTTGTTGCAGGGAGTCCATGGTTCGCTAAAATGATACCTGTCCCCACGGATAAGCATTAAAGAAGTTCAAGTTGCTTGCAAACATCACCGAATCAATATCAACGGCTTTTGTTGAGTCACCAGTCATTAGGATCGAATGTAAGAACAATACCAAGCACAGTTTGAACGTCTCTGAATTTGTAAACTCACCTTCTTCTAACCTGTCCTCTAATTTGTGTCCCTTAATAGACGCTTGCCCCGTCAAAACCTTCTTAGCCAACCTTTTGGCTGCCCAACTCTCCTTTATTCTTTTTTGCTCAACCTCATTTGGCAATTTCCCATATCTTAAGCCAGTCACCAATGCATATTCCATCATCCCGAAACGTAGTGGCTTTCCATCCACCACGAACCACATTTCGTTCTTTTTTTGCTTTTTATTGAGTACAGCAACATATAATGCACTCCCTGCCCCCAGAATGTCTTTTTCCATTTTGTTTCGATATAAAAAAAATGACCGAAACAAGTCTCTTTAAATCTTTCTTCACCATTCCTCACTGCCTTTAAAATCCCCATTATTCTCGTCAAAACTTCCCAACTTGATCTCACTGTCACCCTTACAGGGAAGTACGGTACTGTCTCGCTTACAATCTCCAACCCGTACTCTTTATAGTTTACGCTCCCGAAAATCTACACAATCGATATAAACAAAATCTCAGCAAAAAAATTAAACCAAATCAAATAATAGGCTGCCAACAGACTTTGTAAACAAATAAAAAGTATCATACAATCAATTTAGAAATTAGCTCTGTAAAGAGAGATTATTACATAATTCAGGGGAAAAATAGGAAAAATCTTTTTTGACCGTGATCGCTTAAAGGACATATGAGCGACCACATATATCGCTTAAGTGACCAACAGTTTTCCAAAAATGATCGCTTAAGTGATCACCTTAATCTCGAAAGTGGCCAACAGTAAAAGCGAAGAATCGATTAAGCGATATTAAAGATTGCTTAAGCGATCTTAGATATGGGCAGATGATTTTGCCTCATACAAGATCTCTTAAGCGATCTGAAATCGCTTAAGAGTAAAAGTCATGAATCGCTTAAGCGATATAGAAGATCACTTAAGCGATCTTATATCTGGTCAAATGTTGATTATGCATCGTACAAGATCTCTTAAGCGATCTGAAATCGCTTAAGCAACCAAGAGTAAAAGCGATGAATCGCTTTGGATTGTACGAGGCAGAATAAACATCTGTCCATATCTAAGATCGCTTAAGCAATCTTTTGTATTGCTTAAGCGATTCATCGCTTTTACTCTTAAGCGATCTGAAATCGCTTAAGCGACGAAGAGTAAAAGCTATTAATCTCTTAAGCGATACAAAAGATCGCTTAAGCGATCTTAGATCTGGACAAATGTTCATTATGCCTCAGACATGATCGCTTAAGCGATCCTAAATTGCTTAAGCGACAGTACAGAGCAAACGGATGTTATTTCATGGACTATATCATGCTGGTTATACTCAAATGAGCCAATATACAAAGAAGCATTAATGTTATTTCGGCAAATGCTACGATAAGATGTACAGCCTAATTTCTCATCCAATTGAAAAAAAAACAAGTACAAATACCATTTCTTCAACGGCCTCCTCCTCCTCGCCAGAACTCTCGCCGGACTCCTCCTCGCCTGAACTCTCGCCAGACTCCTCCTCTTGGCCTGAATTCTCGCCGGCCTCCTCCTCCTCTTCAGAACCGTTTTGTGATTGTTCTCTCTTTTGTTGTGCTGCCGTCGTCTCCTCTGCTGGAACACCTTCACTGATCGGATGATCCACTGAAGTAGCCATTGAACTGCTTGAGCCGCCAGACTCTACGATTCGAAATGGCGTTGGATTTTCCTCCTCATTGTGAATGTCAGCCATGGTTTTAAGAAAGTAAGAAGCTTTAGGATTGAATTTGGTGTGAAAATTTGCAGGAATGTGGACTGTAGTCGTCGGAAATTGCACAGAATGCGTTTAGGGTTCAAGAAATAGATTTTTCCTTTAATCAGTTTCGATTAAGCGATTTGAATGGGTGGGGCTCATTTTTTATTTTCAAATTTTAAATAAGTTTCATTAATTATGAGTTGGCCCAGATTTGTTTAAATGTTTTCATTTTCGCCTATTTTACTTGTTTAATCAATATTAACTGCGCCACGTAAGCTTCTCTAAATTAAAAAAAAAAATTAAAAACATTTTCAAGACCATTTTGTTAAATTGAAACTTGGGATGACCGGGGAGTTAAATTTTCTCGCCAGAGTGCCAGTGCCAGTCTTCATCTGTCGATCCGTTTGTGTTCCAAACGCCAGGAATACTATGATCTCAGCCGAAGAGGCTCTTCAAACTGTTCTTAGAGTGGGTCAGCGTCTGCCACCCATTTCTTTGCCACTCCATGAAGCTCCAGGCAAGGTTTTGGCCCAGGATATTCGAGCTCCTGACCCTTTACCTCCTGACCCAGCTTCAGTTAAGGTCGAATCATCTCTTGAATCAACTATTGCCCATTTTTATTTTTGTATAAATCATTAGACATTGATATGCTTATATATTAATGTATTCTTTGTTCAATTCTGAAATTAATATACTTTTTCATCTTTATCTCGGATTTTAATTTTATGCTTTTTATGTTTATATTCTCTGAGTTTGAACATGAACTTTTGATTTTTAGAGCATGAGGGCTATTGGGGAAAGTTGAGTTGAATGGTATTGATTGGATAAAAAATGGTTGTTGCAGGATGGTTATGCAGTAGTTGCGTCAGATGGGCCGGATGAATATCCTGTAATAACTGAATCTAGAGCTGGAAATGATGGAGTTGGTGTGATTGTCACTCCAGGAACTGTTGCATATGTCACAACTGGAGGTTAATATAATACCTATATTTATGATTATAAAATTTTGATCTCTTTTGCTGATTTATAGATGCTACTTCTGTCAATTACAGCCGTGTTGTTTGGGTAATGTCTAGAGTTTGAATAGTGCAATTGAATGTACATCAGTGGTGTTAGTAAGATTTTTAAGAAAATTCGGAGCTTAGCAACTTGTGTAATGACTTCCAACTTTTCATTGCTATTTGTTAGATGCTTGCGATCATTTACAATTGGCTCTTACTAAAGGGCAAGGATACATACTGTAATATGAACTGAGGAAACAAGAAAAATTTAACTGCACTGGGCGTTGAAACTCACCTTTTACGTCTGGATAAGAGGAAGTAATATAAACTGCGTAGAACTATTTTATTTTCACCTTTTTGTGTGTGAACCCAGTGTTAGTCCTAGGGCAACAGAAAACATGGAACTAGTTGTAGTAGCTTTATGTTTTCCCGTCTTTTAATCATTTTTTCAAAGAAGGAAAGGTCTATTAAATGCTTATTTAACTGGCAATAGCTCTCTTTTGTTATTTTTTGGTCACAATTTATTGGATTATTGATTATGTCTCAAATTAGTTATGCCTTTTCCTGTATGGTTCGGTCTTAAGGAGTAAGGTGTTGCAACATGTTATAAGAGCATATTTGACCTATAGTCTTGTATTTGATTGGTAAGTTGTTCTATTTATTCAGTTACAGGTTTGTACACATGTGTTTGGATAGACATTTTGTGTTTGTGTGAATCTGTGTCACAAATCCTGTAATCAAGTTCAGCCATGCAAGCGAGGGGTGTGTTAGAGTTTAGAGACTGTCTTTGGACCCTTCCCAATAATCTTAGGCTTTTTGAGTGAACTGTGTTTTGATATTTGAGAGTTTATATATTTTTCACCCTTTAATTATTTGTTCCTCAAGATGGTATTAGAGTCAAATTAACCAAGAAGTTTTGTATTTGTATTTTTATTTTTACTTTTCCTGATAAGAAACAAAGAAGAGTCCCAATAATGAGAAAATAGCAAAGGAGCCATAAGACATGCATTTTTCACCCATTTTAAGGTTAATTAAGGTTATCTCAATTAAGAAAGCCATTGCTTCCTAACAATTGGAAAGCTTGTATTCTCTTTTAAGGTTAATTTTATTATGCACGTTGATTTTTTTCCCCATTTTTCACCTTTTTTTTTTTCTTACCTTTAGGACCAATTCCTGATGGTGCTGATGCAGTTGTTCAAGTTGAGGACACCGAAGAAATCAAAGATGGTAATGTCAAATTTAGGCGAGTAAGGATATTGGCTAAAACTAGCAAAGGTTTTGATATTCGTCCAGTGGTATGATTCCACTGTTTGATTTTTGTTTTGACATTTATGTTCAGATATTTATGATTTTTTTGCTATTCAATAATAGGCTCATGGCACAAGTAATTGAATTTATATTATTATCATCGATATGTAGAGCATTGTTTATCATTTCCCTTTTCCCATGGTACTAGTAATTGCATTGTTTAAGGCTAAAAGCAATTAATTTGATGCTGGTTATGTTGTCCCTTCTAAGCCATCATAGTCATAAGTTTTTGCTAACAAATAATTCTCAAGTATATGTTGGTAAGAAATATAGTTTTCTAGAATCTGCATATCAGATTTGCAATAATTAATTTGTACAGATATCGTGCCACATCACAAACAATTATCCTTTGGAGTTGGGAAATTTTCTTTTCATGGTTTATCAAGGATTCGATTGCAATCACTAAATAAAATTTAGAGGGAATCACTTGGAAGTGTTTGAGAAGGAAAATGGGGAAGATAAACATCCTTAAAGCCACCTCAAACCTTGTAGATCTAACGTCTCTTAATAGGTTTGTCATTTCTTGGCTTTTAGATGGATTGAAAAGTTATTATAGAATCATTGTTCTAATAAATTCTTGCATTGGCTCAATTTGAGAAGTGCTGAGTGGAAAAAGCTTTTGTCATTGTATCTGGGAACCTTCAATAATCATGATCTTAGGAAGACAATTTGTTTAATGGTTCTTAATAACTTAGAGATAGAAACACAGAAATTGAGGATGGTTTATGCTGTTTTTAGTCCACTATAACGCTTTTTCATTGAGTTTTTGACTTTACCATGTTTAATTTAGATTAGTTAAAGATTCACTATTTTCTATTCCATAATACTTTTTAATTTAAAAGCTCATAACTATTTATTTTGAAGGGATGTGACATTGAGAAAGATGAGATAGTATTACAATCTGGACAAAGAATAGGTGCTTCTGAAATTGGGTTACTTGCTACAGTGGGCGTGACAAATGTGAAGGTATTAAAATATTTCTCTCTTTGTGTTTGATAGATTTGTAATAAACTGAGGGCTAATAATGTCATGCAGGTATATAGAACACCTACTATTGCAGTACTTTCTACAGGAGAAGAACTTGTACATCCAAAGGTTCAGTGTCTAAACCGTGGCCAGGTACCTTTTGTCTCCAATGAACTTTAATGTGTACGTTTTCAGAAGCCTTCTTTTCCTTGGTAAATTCTCAAGTAAGTTCCTCTTCCAATTATTTACGATTGACTATGCTTTTGTTCAGTTTTTGGAGTCTTGACCTTAAGGAGGTCTAAACTAGTGACTATGGTATGTGGCAAATACACATTGGAAGACAAAGGGCTCCTATTTATTTATTTGGTGGGAAAGGAGTTTGGGGGGAGGGATATGTAGGATAATAAATTGCTGGTTGTTTTTTAGGCAAAAGCTGAATATTTGTCAATGTTGAAACCATTCAACATTAAGGTGAAGGCATATGATGTTCCCTTGGCTGTCAATGTCCTCTCCTTTCTCCTCTCTCTTTTATTTATTTATTTTTTTTTCTCTCTCTCTCAAAGCTCGTGCATGGGATGGGGGGTTCTGATTTAAATTTTTTCCCAAGAGTCCTCTTTAAGGAAAACCATTGAAGAAAAATTTACAAGAAAATAGCCTTAAAATTTAGGATTCCAAATCCTGAGATCTTTCAAAAATCAATAACAACATTCTCAAACTAATGAAAGAAGAGAGAATACTCATTAGCTTCCTCATCCTTTGGATTTCTAACTAAGTGAAGACTCCATCCAAAAGAATGCTTATCATATTTAATGCCATCCAATTTATGGATTTTAGCTTTGATTTGGGTCAAGGTTGGCTCATTTCTCTCCTTTGGTTTGTACAGTTTATAATATTTGCATACACACAAATATGACTCTACAATGGTTTATCATTTCTGCAGATTAGGGATTCAAACCATGCAATGATACTGGCAGCAGCAGTGCAAAGTTATTGATCTTGGTATTGCTAGAGACGATGAGGAAGAACTTGAAAAGATCTTGGATAATGCCTTTTCTGCTGGGATTGATATTCTAGTAACTTCTGGTGGTGTTTCCGTGGGAGACAAGGATTTTGTCAAGCCATTGCTTGAAAAGAGAGGGACAGTACATTTCAGCAAGGTGAGATTTGTCCTGTTAATGTTTTCTTCAATCTTTAGAATTTTGACTGAATTCCTAGGCTCAGGACAGGAGAAGCAATTTGTAGTTGGAAGTAGGAGCAAGAAATGTATGATCATGTGCTGAGCTTTAGTAATTGATTCAACTTTACTAGTTTTAGTTGGTATAGACAAAATTTGTGATCATTGTTTGGTGTGGATTGCCTTATCAGGTTTGTATGAAGCCAGGGAAGCCTTTGACATTTGCTGAGATCAGTTTAAAGCCAGTAGAGAATATAATGGTGAATAAAACACTTGCATTTGGTTTAACTGGAAACCCAGTGAGCTGTCTTATATGTTTTCATTCTTCATAGTCCCCACCATTCGCCATCTTTCTGGATGGGAAAACCCTCATCTTTTGAGGTTGTTGAAACTTCCATAATATTATTCTCCTCTCTCTTTCTGCATTTGTACTATCTTAAACTATTATTTATCCATTAATAAATGAAATTCAAAGCAAAATTACAGTTTGAGTGAATACTGTCCTCTTTTTTCTGTACCATGTACAGGGTGCAGGCTCATCTTCTCCAGCCTGTGAAGACAGATAGAGTACGACCAGAATTTCATCGTGCTATTATTAGATGGAAATCCAATGATGGATCAGGCAATCCTGGGTAAGTTGTTTAGCCATGTTTTCCAGCGGCTTGGGATCTGGGTTCCAGGATTGGGATTCAATTGCAACCACCAAGGACCTAAATTCTTCTGTGTTATCTGGGGTGTGAGAGTTGGACCATTTTCACTTTCCTGGTGCATAAACATTACCAATAAAATGTTCTTTAATGTGTTTCAGATTTGTTGCTGAAAGTACTGGCCATCAGATGAGCAGCCGGCTTTTAAGTATGAAATCAGCCAATGCCTTGTTGGAGTTGCCAGCAGGTGGCAGTTTAATTTCTGCTGGAACTTCTGTGTCAGCCATCACAATTTCAGATTTTAGTAGTACTGGTATTATTGAGACTGGCTTAGGATCAGTTTTGGCTTCTACAATGAAAGGAAGCACAACCAAAGAGGCAAGTACAAATGCTTCTGAGGACACTTTCAAAGTAGCTATTCTCACAGTAAGTGATACAGTTGCATCAGGAACTGGGCCTGATCAAAGGTACTAAATCTTTGTGTATGCATGCTCTCTCTCTCCTTTATATCCCTTTTTAATGCTTCCTGTGTATATATATTTATTCATCCATCCAGTTTAGATATGTTATTAAAAAAAAAAAAAAAAAAAAAAAAAGGCATCTGTGTACACCTTTTTGACTCAGTAGGTTTAAAAATCTTTATGGATGCTACAGTGATAGAGCAGAGCTGATGTTCTGCATTATATGAGTTAGATATGGAACAGTATATAGCAAACAGTGGATGATTAGTATCTTTATGTCCTAGGATGACTCAATCTTTCGGATCATCTTCTCTAAGTTGTCCTTAACTGGGAATGCGAAGATCATTACCTAAACTTAATAGCATCTGGATACTCCTTTCTGAATCATTGTTTCAGAAGGGTCACATACTCGATGCCATAGTAAAAAGCCAAGCTGATATTACTCCTTGTTAAAGTGAAACATGGAAAGTACTAAATACTATGCAACAGTATTCTGGAAATAGTATGGCAATCATCAAGTCATCTTGGTGGTGTTCTTTCTTATTTTTGCTTCTATTGTGCTTGTATTACAACTTCTTTGTGAGCATTGGACTATAAATAAACTGACAACACTCTAAAACTATCCCTTTTTGTAATGCTTGACTATTTGAAGAATTGACCAAACTTGAAATCTTTTTGACAGCATTAATGACCATTTTGCTAAAGGCCTTTGGTTGTGTGAGCCATGACCGATTAATTGATTCATGAAAAATGTTGTACACTTCTTAAATTTAATATGCTAGACATGCATAGTTGAACGATGCAAAAACTTTGGTTTAGTTCTGAGTGAACAATGGATTTCCATTTAGTTCAAATTATTAGAAAAATAAGGAAAGTGTCTTCTACTTTTATCTTTCTGTTTCTGCATTTTTTTTTTTTTTTTTTTTTGGGTAAGTAAGCTTTTATAGAAAGGGGGAAAGAATGTACAAAAGGCTTAAAAGATGGTCAACCTACCTCAGGACAAGCCCTGGGTTAGGAGCAAAAGCATGATACTATCTAAGTCTACCCCTAATCTACTTTTTTTCCCATTCTTCTTGTCAAAGAAATGGACCCAAGCGGAGATTAAAGAATACACTGAATCCCACCTACCACAGGACAGGCCCTGGGTTAAGTTCAAAAATATCAAAATACAAAAACCATAGATTGACAAGAAGAATTCCATGACTAAGGATATTAACAAGGTATGGCCCGTTAATGACACAAAGATAAGGCACTAGATCAATACCCCAAGTTTTCCAATTACCAAAGTAGCCTTGTTTAGCATAATCAACCATCGGGATGTCATATAACCAAATCTTACACCACTGAAAACCCATCACATAACAACAAATCATAAAATTAGCTCACATGGGATGTTTTAAAAATAGACATGGGGAGACCCCATTTCTCGGCAAGTCTTCTATTGTAGGTATTCTTTTGATAGTAAATGATATTGAACACATTTAATTTTCAGTGGGCCTAGAGCTGTTTCTGTTGTAAATTCCTCATCAGAAAGGTTAGGTGGAGCAAGGGTAATTGCAACAGCTGTAGTCCCAAATGATGTAGGGAAAATCAAAGATGTTATCCAGAGATGGTCTGATATTGACAGAATGGATCTCATTCTTACCCTCGGTAAGTTTCAGATTGTATTCAGCTAGTTAAATTCTATGGGTGAATTTGTTTTTTGGGTTATCCTGACCTTTTCCTTCTCTTTTTTGAATATATTTTTAACAAGGTGGCACTGGCTTCACCCCAAGAGACGTTACCCCTGAAGCTACAAAAGAGCTGATTCAGAGGGAAACACCTGGTCTTTTGTATGTAATGATGCAAGAGAGTTTAAAGGTACCAACAATATTTTTTGGAAGTTATTAATTTATATTAATACATCATAGCTTGTTGTGTAACAATTTGAAAGTAAAGTCATATATTTGAATTCCAAGTATGGTGCATCATCTATTAGGTTCATCTTTCTAGCCCTTAATGTTTAAACTTTTCTTAAAAAAATTTCAATGCCATTTTTTTTTTCCATTATCTCGAATTGTGATCATTCAATCAGTTTTCCATGAAAGTTTCTTGGCTTCTATGTGTGCAAATCACTGGTCGTTACATCCTGACAGTATGCCTATTTTATTTATGTTGATTTAACCACTTTCTTGGAAGATTTTCTGCATTCTAATAAATCTTCTTCTATTGGTGTATTTTGAGCAGGGCCTTTAGCTAAACCCCTTCATTGTACATTCATTTTAGGCACTGTGCTGCACACCCCTCATTAATTCATGGTCGCTTTCCTCTTTGTTATCATTGTTGAATATATATTTTCTACACTGTTTATTTGGGCTTTTACTGAATGGCGCTCTCATGAGTAAGAATTCTTTCTTCCTTTCTGTTGTCTTAAACAGGTGACACCATTTGCTATGCTCTCGCGCTCTGCTGCAGGGATAAGAGGGTCAACATTGGTAAGCTGCGATATTGTTATGCTATTGTTACCCATAGATATTGTAGTGTGAAGGATGCTCATCATGAGGTCTTCTTTTTTTCCCTCTTTTTTCTGAAAGGCTTTTATAATTGCATTCTATCAGTGACCTGCCATCATTATCTTTTGCCATGTTGTGTATGGTAATTAATTCTAATAAATATTCTGGTCACTGTAGTGAAAGATTATGAAGTTCATGCTGTTGGGGAATTTGTTTGAAGCGCTTTGTTAATAAAGTGAGACTGGTGATTTGAAGGAAATTTAACTTCGAAACCATACTCTGGTGCCTAAAACTTTTCACTATGCCTCAATAACAGCGGCGAACCTTTTTTCTCAAAAGATAGCTATGCAAATACCAGAAAGTAATTTGACCTTATTTTGTCTCTAGCATGGTAAACATCTAGAGCCTTATATATTTGGCTCCTGAGTTTGCTGAATTGATTTCTGAATTTGGTCATGTGGAGTTTTGCTAGAATCATTTTCTGGGAATTAAAATTCCTGTAAAAGCTACATGTGATGCTTTTGTAATGTTACTGTACATATAATCAACATCAATTCTTTAATGTTGCTAATCTGAACATTTTACAATGGCATTCTGCTTATTTTGTGTACTCAGATCATTAACATGCCTGGGAATCCGAATGCGGTTGCTGAATGCATGGAGGCTTTGTTGCCGGCCCTTAAGCATGCATTGAAGCAGATAAAAGGTGACAAGAGAGAGAAACATCCTCGTCATGTCCCGCACGCACAAGCGGCACCAGTGGATACATGGGAGCACAGTTACAAGGTGGCTTCTGGTGGTAACACAGAACATAGTTGTTCTTGTTCCCATTAGCATTTTCTTTGGGAGAAGAAATTCAAATTCTGTAACATTATGTGTAATTTTGGTTCACTTCATATCGTGTGTGATTAAGGATAAGTACTCCATTTTACACATGGGAATTGTAATTTTTCTGTTTTATTATTTTCATTTTCCCCAAAAGTAACAAAAGAATAATAAATTAATAATAATAAATCATGGGTAATTTGTTTAGCCTTTTTTCTTATGTGATTAGAATGTCTTGACACAAGATATGAATAATTTTGAAACTAGATCTGTGATAAATGAATTATTTCAGAGTACTATTAGGCTCCCATATTTTATCTCTTTTGATCCCAATTATTGTTAAATTTTTAAGTACAATTTTATGTTTTATTAAAACTACTTAAAAAGACATAAAGGAATTATACGTATTTAAAAGTTTTATAAGTGAAATGGAGATGAAATTTATGATTTGTAATTGTAAGTTGTTTTGTTAATTTTTCTTTCCTTTTTTATTCTTTTGTACTTTTCTAAAATTTATAAGTTAGTTTGATGTATTCAAATTCTTATACTATTATTTTTTGAATCTTGAAAGTAATATTCATGTGAACGAATTTTATTTTTGAATATCTTTTAATCCGCCTGCTTGAGAATTAGATTAAATGATACATTCAAAACAGGAAGCATAAAAAATATTAAAAATATAAATAAAATAGTATATTTAGAAGTAAATGGAGTTTATAAAAACATTCCATGTGTCAAAACATTTTTATGGGGTAAACTTTTGAAAGATCATATATGAGGGACTAAATACTACACAAAAATGACGTAATTATAAGATTAAGGACCAAAATCATATGATTATTTAATAAGTCCTCCAAAAAATTCATGCCATCTTCGCATAAATATGATCATCACAATAAAAAAATATCATACACTCTAAAGTATTTAATTTTATATGCTTGTGGCATAAAAGACGAACAAATAAATAAAAATAATACTTCTGAGTTTGGGTTGTCCATATATTTTTGGACTGGGCCTAATTTGGCCTTCAGAAATCACCTTGAATCAAATCGTTGCCAATATTCCACAGCGTACCATCTCCAGTTTGCCATATTTGTACTTTCTTAAAAAAATGCAAAAGTTTAATACTTATATAGGAAACGTGAAAACAAGCTTTTATCCGTTCGATAGAATTTGAGATGAGTTTGATTCCTCACCCAATAAGGCCTTATTGAATGGAAGGATTGTTATCTCTTATAAACTAGTAGGCTTGAGCGTGCCTAGTCAGTATGGGACTCCAACATTCTCTCTCACGGTCAAGCCCATATATTGGGTCATGCCTATTGACGAAGGTAGTTATTGGTTCTAACTCCTCACCCGCTGGTCAAACACTCAGCTTAATTGAACTTGGGCTCTGATACCATGATAAAATTTGAGATGGGTCTGACTCCTCACCCAATAAGACTTTATTGGGTGAGGAGTTAGGCCCACATCAAATTCTAACATGGTATCAAAGCCTAGGCTCGGTTGAGTTGAGTGCTTGACCAGCAGGTGAGGAGTTAGAGTCAGCAACTACCTCCATCAACAGGTATGATCTAACATATGGGCTTGACCATGAGGGGGAATATTGGAGTCTCACACCGACTACGCACGCTCAAGCCTATTGGGTTATAAGAGGGGATAATCCTCCCATTCAACAAGGCCTTATTGGGTGAGGAGTCAAGCCCACCTCAAATTCTATCATGGTATCAGAGCCTAGGCTTAGTTGAGCTGAGTGCTTGACCAGCGGGTGAGGAGTTAGAGCCAACAACTACCTCCATCAACAGGCATGACCCAACATATGGGCTTGACCGTGAGGGGGAGTGTTGGAGTCCCACATCGACTAGGCACGCTCAAGCTTATTGGGTTATAAGAGGGGGTAATCCTCCCATTCAACAAGGCCTTATTGGGTGAGGAGTCAGACCCACATCAAATTCTAACATGGTATCAGAACCCAAGTTCAGTTGAGTTGAGCGCTTCACTAGTGGGTGAGGAGTTAGAGCCAGTAACTACCTCCAATAATAGGTATGACTCAACATATGGGCTTGACCGTGAGGGGGAGTGTTAGAGTTCCACATCGACTAGGCACGCTCAAGCCTATTGGGTTATAAGAAGGGGTAATCCTCCCATTCAACAAGGCCTTATTGGTGAGGAGTCAAGCCCACCTCAAATTCTATCATGGTATCAGAGCCTAGGCTCAGTTGAGCCGCGTGCTTGACCAGCAGGTGAGGAGTTAGAGCCAACAACTACCTCCATCAATAGGCATGACCCAACATATGGGCTTAACGTGAAGGGGAGTGTTGGAGTCCCACACCGACTAGGCACGCTCAAGCCTATTGGGTTAAGAGGAGGTAATCCTCCCATTCAATAAGGTCTTATTGGGTGAGGAGTCAGACCCACCTCAAATTCTATCATGGTATCAGAGCCCAGGTTCACTCGCTGGTCAAGAACTCAGCTCAACTGAACCTGGGCTCTGATTCCATGATAGAATTTGATGTGGGCCTGACTCCTCACCCAATAAGGTCTTGTTGAATGGGAGGATTACACCTCTTATAACCCAATAGGCTTGAGCGTGCCTAGTCGATGTGGGACTCCAACATTCTCCCTCACGGTCAAGCCCATATGTTGGGTCATACCTGTTATTGGAGGTAGTTGCTGGCTCTAATTCCTCACTCACTGGTCAAGCGCTTAGTTCAACTGAACCTAGGCTCTGATACCATGATAAAGTGTACTTGAGTAGAACTCACTCCCAAAAGCTAGCTCAAGGGAGGAGGGAGCCCAATCATTTATATACACCATAACAACCTATTATTGGAGCGATGTGGGACAAATTCAACTTCTAACACCCTCCCTCATGCTCGGCGTGCAAAGTCAGGGTCCAAACCCATCATCGCCCCAACCAAGAGGGAAGAGAAACAAATGTGGCTCTGATACCATGATAGAATTTGACAATGGCTTGACTCCTCACCCAATAAGACCTTGTTGAATGGGATGATTGTCCTCTCTTATAAACTAGTAGGCTTGAGCGTGCCTAATTGGTGTGTGACTCCAACACCCTTATTTATTTATCTATTTATTGTATGAATATTAAATTCTTTCCATATATGTTTAGAAAAATACGCAAGAGATTTTTTAACTATGTGTTTGTAGAAATGTCTACCAGTATTAATACAATATAACAGAATAATTCTATTTTATTTTATCTGTACAACTTGACTCTGCCTCTTCATATGACCATTTAATGCACTCACAAGTCACAATATACCATTAATAATACCAGAATAATTCTATTAATTAATAAAAATAAAAACAGAATAATTCTTCAACTATATAAATTGATAGAAAGAATCCATTCTTTACTTTTATCTATTAGTAAACCGTGTTTTTCCTCTGTTTTCTCTGCACTTTTTCAAACTTTCTCCTCCAACAGCTCTTTTGCTCCCAAGATCTCCAACGTCTCTTTCTGATCATTAGGTTTTTTGATCCCAAAGATCCAATCTTATTATACGATATTTTTTTCGCTTAATTTAGAATTTCTTTAGAATTTTTTTTTTTTTTTTTTTTTTTTTTTTTTTTTTTTTTTTTTTTTTTTTTTTTTAATTTGTGCAGGTGAAGCTGTTGTGCGCGTCTGAAGATGACGAATGTTGTGGTGGTAATTTTTATTTGTCAAGTGTTATTTGCTTTGCCTTTATTGAGAAATTGGATAGTTTGCTTTTGTTGGGATTTTAAATATGAAAATTTTATTGTATGTAGGGTGATTCTTTTGGTGATGCCCAGAAAAATGTGTTTGATTTAGGCGCATTTGTGTGGGACTTGACTTTTGAGGAAGATGCAAGTGGGTAAGTTAAGAATTGAGGAAGATGCAAGTGGGCAAGTTAATGCACTCACAATTTAACGGAATAATTCTATTAATTATTAAAAATAAAAACAGAATAATTCTTCAACTAAATAAATTGATAGAAAAGAATTCATTCTTTGCTTTTATTTATTAGTAAACCATGTTTTTCCTCTGTTTTCCCTGCACTCTTTCAAACTTTCTCCTGAGCCTCCAACGGTTCTTTCTAATCTTTGGGTTTTTTGATCCCAAGATCTTTGAGTTTTTTAGTTTTATTTTGGAAGGTTAAGAGTTGTTCAGTTTCGTATTTACGGTTTTGGCTGTGTTATATAATTTTTTTACAGTGAATTAAAATTAGGATGTTAATGAGATGATGAATCAAGGAGGCAATACTCAAACCGTGGCTTCACTTGACCCTAATTTGGTTGAGGTAATTATTTTCTTTTTATATTTATTTCATGGTTTTAATTTGAATGGATGAATTGTGTTGTATAAACCAGTAGAAATCTTGTTTATGTTATTGTTAAATTGATAGCTGGAATATGTTTTGTAGAATTTGTAGCTTTTTATTACGGTTTATATGATCAAAAATAAAATTTGTTGATCATGCAGATAAATCAATTAGAATTAGATTATAATGCATTGTTTCTGCGATTATATGCTTTTCTTAGAATGTAGAATGTAGGGTTTGAATGGGGCACAGGTTTTGAATTGAAGTTTGTTGAGCATTTCTGGGTTATAATAAAGAAGAAGAAAAGCAGTGTGTGGTTATCTTAGCTAGAAGTAAATAGTAGTGGATGTCGATGTAGTAATTTGGTTTTGAGGTTATGATGTTCTTTAGCAAATTTGTAGCATTGTGTAGTAGGAAGGAAAAATTGTTGATTTAGTTGTCTGATTGATTTATAATAGAATTGCAACTCACTCTATCAATGTACTGAAGTTCATAACCTTACTTTTAAATGTTCATCCCTTGTATTTTCGGTTTTTTATTCTAGTGGAGGTGAGCAATAATTATTTGGTTCAGAACTTTAGCCGAATTCAGTTTCTTCTTGGATCCAAGTTGGATATATGAAAAAGGTCGCCTATTTTACATATCTTCAGGTTTCATTTTTCTTAGACTATGTCAAGTTAAAGAGTTCTTGCTTCTGTCTCATGTCTAAGTGAACTCTGCTTATGGATGTAATGCTGTATGAAAATGAGTATAGCTATTTGTTTTCATCGTAAAGGGAGTGGAGCATAATGGAATAAGATGAGTTGTTAACTAAATTAATCCTTGAAAACTACCCGAAACCACTATAAATAGTTACATCCACTCTTCCAACCTAGTAGATTACTTGTATGGATGTTACTGCCCCTCTACCTGATAATTAGCTCCAATAAGTAAACTTATTAAATCTGATTTGCAATTTTTACATTCTTACCAATTTACATGACGACCGCACACTACCTATTTGGTTTAAAAATAGATAATATATGATTAGGCTATTATAACACACAACATTCTTGGTGTATTAATCTTTAAGTAGGACCCTTTTCATTGAGCGCTGTAGGTGGCTTGTTAATATATAATTTGTACTTATTGCATCTTGTTATTAATTTAGTGTTTGTATCCTTATATTCACAGTACATACAAAGCCCTTATATATCTCCAGCTGAGTGACTTTCTTCAGCTTTTGCTATATTTTGTTTGGCTATTATGCTTTCATGTAAATAACATTTTCTTTTATTTTTTTCAGAACCGATATGTTGTTGACGCTAGCCAATCACAGACATCATATCTTCCCTCAACAACTTCATCTGGAGCTGTGTCATGGAATACGCATTGTGTGGATAATCGCTCCATAGAGAATGGGATTCTTCCAAATTCCACTTATCACCATGAGCAGCACACAGAACCACTTGTAAGGAATGTTCAAGATGGAGTAAATTCGACATCTGTAGCAAGTTCATCAAGTTTAGGAGCAATTGTTGTATCACAAGATTACAGTGGCTATACACCGTACCCAAATTCTAGTGATCCATATAGTTATGGAAACACAGGATCCCCAGGTTACTATAGCAACTATCAACAGCAACCTAATGATAAGAGCTTGAAAATACATATTTAGTTAGTGGTTTTTGGGGGATTAATTGTGGGAAATTAGGCTTAATTTGGTAAAATTGCTTAATATTTTCATAATTGCCTTTTACGGGATCACGGGTGTTTTTGAGTGTTTTTTAGTTTACTAGTGCTTAAATGTTATGCTCGAATGAAGAATTATGCTGGCAATGGAATGAGTGACAAGTGGAAACAAACGGATCAAGAATCGGAGTTGAATTGAAGAAGTTATGGAAGTTGAAGTAAAGAGAAAATTCTAGATTACGTTCCAGCTTGCGCATGCTTCGGTATTTTGAGAATATCTTGAGCTGTAGAACTCGGATTAAGATGATTCTTGGACCGTTGGAAAGCTGATTCAAAGGGCTACATTTCATATGTTTACAACTTTTCCAAATTCCATCGTTATCGAGTTCAAAAATCAACATCTTTGAAGAACAGTGGAATGATGCGGGAAGAAGGGCAGCAGCTACTGTGCCGCGGCACACTTTTTCCAGTAGCTACTGTGCCGCGGCACAGTCACAGAAGTTACTAACTTGTTATTCGTTTTTAGGTAAGAGAATAAGGTTAAGGGTTCTAAATCAAATAGAATTAAGGAAAAACAAACCCTAACTCTTGTGGGATATAAATAGAAGTCTTTTAGCATTATTTAAGGGATTCTTTGGTGAGAAGAAAGGGAGAGAAATCTGGAGAGAAGAGAAGTGACAGAAATTCTGGAGCTTTGATTCACAACATAGAGAAGTTTTCCTTATTCTTTTCTTGTAAACTCATGATGAATGTTTTAATAAAGATGATTGTTTCTTTCATGTTTATTATGAACTAAATTTATTCTCGAGGGCTAAGATGTAGCCCAATCTCTTAATTATGTATTGAACTTTGATTGTTAATTTGTATTAATAATTCATTCTAAGTTTTACTATTATTCCTAATGCTTTTGGTTCTTAAGGGCCCAAGAATTGAATGAACCAATGGACTAAGTTGAGATCGAGAGATGATACTTAGTTGGTCTACGGTAGTAAAACCATAGGTTGAGCGAACGCTAGAGATATGTTACTGCGACTTGTGAGGCTTTTGTAAACTCCATAGAGCGTAATGATCCCCAATTGCTTAAATCTGATTAGAGATAATTCGGGTTAGTAATTAGGGGTTAATTTGATAATTGTTCGAGAGAAAGTTATTGGAAATTTAAGGAGTTTGAACTATAAGAAGAGATAAATAAAATTAGCATAAGAGATTGATACATATGAATAAGAGTTGGTGTGAAGTCTATGCCCTAGGTCTAGTCATCTTGTTTTTTACCCAAAGGTTTATTTTAATTGTTCTCTTTTCAGTTTTCTTTTTAAAATTTAATTGTTAATTTAATTTAGGTTTTTCTTGATAAAATTTGGATTGATCAAATAGTGATAGGATAGTTTCATTGGTAATTAATAATAGTAATTCCCTTAGGTTCGATATCCGTAATTTTACACTTTATTACTTGCACGATTTGGTACACTTGCGAAAATCTTCAACACCTAACCATTCATACTCCCAGCCCGTCGGAGCATGTCAAAACACAGGTGCTCCTTATCAGCCAATTTCTTCGTTTCTGAATTCAGGGTCTTATCCTGGTCCTGCAAATTATTCAGGCATTTACTACCATCTTGGTGATTATCAAAAGCTGGAAGTTATCCAAGTAGCGCTTACAATAATCAGACAAACTCATGGAATGAAGACAATTATGAAAATTATAGTTCTCATCAATACTCAAACTACCCTGCAGAGGCAATTGCCAACTTACAATTATGGTACTACAGCTGCGCCTTCACTGCAATATCCACAACAGTACAAGCAATGGAAAGATTTTGAACACGAATCCATTTCGATTCTAGGTAAACAAGCAATTAAACGAATATCCAATCTTATTATACGATTTTTTTTTTTCACTTAATTTTAAAGTTCTTTTGAATTTTTTTTAAAATTTGTGTAGGTGAAGCTGTTGTGCGCGTCTGAAGATGGCGAATGTTGTGGCAAACCAAGTGGTAATTTTTATTTGTGAAGTGTTAATTTCTTTGCCCTTATTGAGAAATTGGATAGTTTGCTTTTGTTGGGATTTTAAATATGAAAAATTTTTTTGTATGTAGGGTGGTTCTTTTGGTGATGCAAATGATGCCCAGAAAAATGTGTTTGATTTGTGTGAGACTTGACTTTTGAGGAAGATGCAAGTGGGTAAGTTAAGAATTGTGGAAGCTTTTTGTATAATTTATGTAGAACTTTGCTCATTGATTTGTTTAAGGTGTGATCTGTGTTTTAGAGAATTTGACTATTCTCAAGTTTTCTTGAATATTTGTGTAAAATTAGTTGGTAAAGTAACTTAAAATAAAGAAATAAATGGTGGGTGATTGTAAGTTCTCTGAGTGAGTTGATTGAGGTGCTAAAATCTTGGAAATAGCTGGAAACTTGAGAGGGTCACCTTTGGAAGCCTTTGTCGGTGACCAAAAGTGTCACTCTCTTTCCATCATGTAGTGATGCTGACTGAATTTAATTTGTAAACCTGGAAAAGAAATAAATTTTCTTTCGTTTTTAGAGATTATTGCTTAGAAGATTCTTACGAAAAAGTTTGTGGGATAGGTCATGGAGAGTGCTTTTAACTGTAAGAGAAGAGTTGTAAACTGTCTTGTATTTTTGTTCAGATCTCTAGGTATTTTATTGTGAAGATGTTTATTGCTGTTGCTATTTTTTGCAGTCCTTGAGTTGACATGGTGTAAGTTTGTACAATAGGCTACATAGATTAGATCTATGAGTTCATATTGCTTCTTGGCTTTTGTCATGATGATTATTGTGTTGAAAACACTCTTGGAAAATTGTGATATCTTGATGTATGATAGAGATAATCTCTGATGTTTGTTAAATCAAGGTTGTCTTGTTCCTCAGAGGTGAAATTTTGCCTTAGTGTCTGAGTATTTGCAGAACAAAGTGATTCAGATGTTAGTATAAAATTAAATTGTTAAATGAGTAACACAGGAAGCGACAGATTGCACTATCTAGTTAATTTTTTTAAGCAATTTGAGAGTACTTATCTGTAAAAAGGAATAAAGTGTCTGGATTACATTTCTGATTATCTGGTAGCTTGGTTTGGAGTCTGCATTCTATATGATCTTCTTGTACTTGCGACATGAAGTTTGTGCACTGCCCTGTCCTTAATATTTTATATTTGTTTCCATAATTTTTCTGCTATACTTCATATTTTATACCTTAATGTTTGTGTCTATGTGTTCATATAGGTAGTTGAAAACATTTTGTCTAAAGGTACAACACTAAGGGAGTACATGAAGGAGGTTGAGACTGATCTACGCCAAGTTGAGTTGGACTCTATTCAGGTTCGTGGTTATTTTTCTTTGCTGAGATGCTTTGTATGTAATGTTGTGGTGTCAATTAATAAGGTCAAGTACTTCAGTTGTTTTATTTTTATTTTTTTAAACAAAAGTACTTCAGTTGTTTTATCTTATGTTTTTATAAAAAATTGTATTGAATCAATTCATGCCTTTGTGCCTTATCTTCGATTTATGTGTTGTCCTATCACTCAGTGAGGGTTATATATAGCTGAGATGCTCTTGAATCATCTTCTTGTATCTTACTTTTATTGTTTTTTCATTTATGAATTATTATTGATTGATGCTAGAACTTTTTCAATGCTGCAGGATTATATTAAAGAAAGTGATAACTTGGTGTCCCTTCATGATCAAATTCATGATGACGATGCCATTTTGTCACAGATGGAGACTCTTCTCAGCGGTTTTCAGGTATGTTAATTCTTGCTGGGCAAGCCAGAAAAAACTTGCATTCGTCTGTCTTGAGATAACATCTTTTATTTGTTCTGTTGATAAAAGGTATTACAATTACACTTTTAAGGAATGTTTAGTATTTACTAGTTGCTAGTTCAATGAATAGTAAAGTTCTGAAGTTCAAGAATTATATTTGTCTGATAACATTATGTATTGTTCCCAATGTTGTGATTTAAAGCTCCTGTTTGACCTTTAGTTCGTAAGTGCTGTATGGAACACTCTCATGTAGTAGTTGATGCTTATTTATATAACTTTGCAACTGAAAAAGTGATAATTATGTTGTGCAATACAGTTAACTATTTTTAGTAGTAGAACCTGTCATGGATTGCAAATTGTTATCAAGTTGAGGAGGAAAGGAGCAAGCGAAAATTTTCTTTGTTGAGTTCTTGACAGGAATCTGTATAACAACGAATGCTGGATGCTAAATTACTTATTGCTGTCATAGCTGTTGAATCATTCCATACAATAAAATTTGGAGGTTAGGGACTCTGTAGGACACACAAAGACATCAGCAATGAGATGCTATTTCTAGAATTGCTTGGTATAAGCTGACAGATCTACTAGCTTCATATTTGCTGCTGCTTTTAAAAATATGGTCTTACTTTCTGTTTATATCACAATGCCCATGACCGGTGGTAAAAGCCTGTTGCAATAGCAAAGGTCACTGCTAAATGTCACATACATGGTTCAAGTTCTGAGAGCATCCACTTACAAAAAAATGCTGAAAAGGACGGTCTACTAATTTAACCCTCCCAGGATATGAATTCATTGGTATCATACATGATACCTGTATGATACCAAAATAATGGTCCTTGATACAGGCATTATTAGCATCTGAGAATCGCACATAAGAAGCTTTATTCATTTATTTGGATAAGAACATTCAAGAATATTTCAAATATTATCCTCTCTCATTCATTCTTCTTTGCTTACATCAATTTATTCAAATTGGTTCCTTGGTGTTGATTTACAGTTTGTTGCTTCGCTTTTCAGTTGTCTTGGTAATGTTGTCTAGTTGTTCTTTGTTTTAGTTGGATCTTGTATGATCAGGAGTACTGACATTTTTAGAAATTTTATTCCAGTCTGAGATTGGTTCTATAAATTCAGACATAAAAATACTCCAGGAGAAGTCAATGGATATGGGTCTGAAGCTGAAGAATCGCAAGGTATGGTTTCTATTGGGGAAGTTTTGTATCCCAGAAAATTCTGCTGTTATCTTAATCTTAATGGAGGCTGTGATGGTTGTCAGGGAGCGACATCCAGTTCTGTTATGATAGACCTCCTATAACCAAAGTTTACAAAAAGAGGAGAAAGGGCAGCATGGGAAATTCACTGGACAGGGGCAGCAAAGGAAATGCAGTTTTAAATCAGTTAGAAAGAATCTCCACGTAAGGGCAGTGCGAAAAGTGTGAGTTCAGCAGTATTTAAGAGAGAACAATTTGTAAGCTGAGGAGGATGAAATCTGGAATCAAGGGAGGCTGCTAGACCCTCGAAGTGCTAGCCAACTTTTAACTTTTCTTTGTCATTTATTTTTGTTGTTGCAGTGTTAACAATNAAGCCAGAAAAAACTTGCATTCGTCTGTCTTGAGATAACATCTTTTATTTGTTCTGTTGATAAAAGGTATTACAATTACACTTTTAAGGAATGTTTAGTATTTACTAGTTGCTAGTTCAATGAATAGTAAAGTTCTGAAGTTCAAGAATTATATTTGTCTGATAACATTATGTATTGTTCCCAATGTTGTGATTTAAATCTCTTGTTTGACCTTTAGTTCGTAAGTGCTGTATGGAACACTCTCATGTAGTAGTTGATGCTTATTTATATAACTTTGCAACTGAAAAAGTGATAATTATGTTGTGCAATACAGTTAACTATTTTTAGTAGTAGAACCTGTCATGGATTGCAAATTGTTATCAAGTTGAGGAGGAAAGGAGCAAGCGAAAATTTTCTTTGTTGAGTTCTTGACAGGAATCTGTATAACAACGAATGCTGGATGCTAAATTACTTATTGCTGTCATAGCTGTTGAATCATTCCATACAATAAAATTTGGAGGTTAGGGACTCTGTAGGACACACAAAGACATCAGCAATGAGATGCTATTTCTAGAATTGCTTGGTATAAGCTGACAGATCTACTAGCTTCATATTTGCTGCTGCTTTTAAAAATATGGTCTTACTTTCTGTTTATATCACAATGCCCATGACCGGTGGTAAAAGCCTGTTGCAATAGCAAAGGTCACTGCTAAATGTCACATACATGGTTCAAGTTCTGAGAGCATCCACTTACAAAAAAATGCTGAAAAGGACGGTCTACTAATTTAACCCTCCCAGGATATGAATTCATTGGTATCATACATGATACCTGTATGATACCAAAATAATGGTCCTTGATACAGGCATTATTAGCATCTGAGAATCGCACATAAGAAGCTTTATTCATTTATTTGGATAAGAACATTCAAGAATATTTCAAATATTATCCTCTCTCATTCATTCTTCTTTGCTTACATCAATTTATTCAAATTGGTTCCTTGGTGTTGATTTACAGTTTGTTGCTTCGCTTTTCAGTTGTCTTGGTAATGTTGTCTAGTTGTTCTTTGTTTTAGTTGGATCTTGTATGATCAGGAGTACTGACATTTTTAGAAATTTTATTCCAGTCTGAGATTGGTTCTATAAATTCAGACATAAAAATACTCCAGGAGAAGTCAATGGATATGGGTCTGAAGCTGAAGAATCGCAAGGTATGGTTTCTATTGGGGAAGTTTTGTATCCCAGAAAATTCTGCTGTTATCTTAATCTCAATGGAGGCTATGATGGTTGTCAAGGAGCAACATCCAGTTCTGTTATTTTAATAAAATTAGTTTTGTCCTCAGACTTTTGTTAATCATATGTGCTCTCTCAGGAAGATGTTGCTCAAAGAATTGTTTTAGGTGGTCTAGCTAAACTTTTCAGTGGGTGGCCTGTCCAGTTGGAAGGAATTTTTCTGTATTGGAAATATTAACCCTTTCCTTCTATTAGTATAATATTTGTGCCTCCCTTTTTCCCTTTTCTTGGTGTGTGTTTGGGGTGCACATGGACGAACTCTATGCCTATGAGTATCATTTTTGAGAATATGCTGCTCGTCAGATAGTTAATTAAGTTACAGCATCAGTAGTTCTACAAAAAGAACTTATGCTTTTGAAGTGCTTTATTAAGAAAGATAATCAATGGGAAGGTTTTGGATTAATTTTGTGCGATTGACATTGATATTTGAATTGTCCTGAGCTTTGTTTGAGCTTTTCATTCTGTTGTATAGTTTTTTTTTTTTTTTCTGATCCTCTAAATGGATCCTAACCTTTGTGGACAATTTGTTCACTCTTCTCTCATTAATGTTTCAACCAATAGTATTCTCTTTGTTTCTTTCTTCTCAGAAAAAAAAAAAAAAAAAAAAATTGTATATTACATCTACATCCAAAAGGTGTTGTTTTTATATGGTAGGATTAATAGAGGGACCTCTTAAGTGTTTTTTTTTTTTTTCTCTTACAATAAATTATTTCATGAGAATTTGTGAAAAAAAGGTGTTGCTTAAATGTTTGTTGCTCATTAAGGGAAATGATTTTTATGCCACTAGGTCAATACTATCATTTTTTTTTCTCATGCATTTCCATCTTCTGAATATATGCAGTAATTGGTTATATATTCTTTGAATAGGTGGCAGAGTCAAAACTAGCAAAATTTGTTGAAGACAGTATAATCCCTCCAAGGATGGTAGATAATTGTTGAAGGAGAGGTATTTTGTTGTTTATTTGGATTCTCATTTAAACATGATGGTTTTATTATTTTATTTTGCAACTGCTCATATGTTTTCTTCCTAAAGGTCTCTTGGGTTAGTGGTGCTCTCTTTACGTGGTCAAAGTTTATGTGTGCAAGTCCTTGTCATGATTCAGCTTTTGATCGATATAGATTTTAATATATCTTTTTCTTGGGAGGGCATGAGTTATAGTAGTTACAAAAGAAATGTATCGTGTTTTACTTATGTCATCATTGGTGTGTTTGTGTGTAAAGGTGATGGAGCGTATCAATAATATTATCTGTCTTCTCACTGAAATTGTGATGTCATCTCTTTAGAGCAGCTAGGTTGGTGAGGATCGTTATCAGTCTTGCATATTCCTGATTTGAGAGTATTTCTGTGCTTTGGTGGGGTAGAAAATCTAAAGTTTCTATTGCGATGTCAGTGCTTGCAACTCTTTGGGTAATATGGATGGAAAAGGATTCTGGAGGATGCAATTATAGGAGAGATTTCCTTCTTGTGGGCAGAGCTTGTCTTTTGATATCTTTATAGGTTTTTTTAACTAAAGAATTTCAGGGTTCTTTATTTTTCATCTTAGGAAAGTGGTGGGCTTTTGTCCAGTAATGTTGGATGCTGAATTGGGTATTGAGATTATAGAGTGGATGCACTTTTTTACCACTGTTGTCTTGTACGTCTTGTGGATCAATGGTTCACCTTACTGTATAGCAAAAAATATTATACTGTATCTTAACCCAAAAAAAAAAAGTTTTACTGGTTACCATATTCGTTAGGAAAAGCTTTACAATACTAATACTTGTTCTTAGGGTTTTCATGAAGTCTATGTACAAGTCTTATCAATTTTAGATGGGATGCGGACCTGAAATTGAAATATAACCAATTGAAGATTGTAAAAGATTGTTTTAGCTCGTCTCTATTTTGGACACTCCTTCCTTTGAACTCTATGATCATCTCTTCTTTTTATAGATATAAAATATTTTGTATACTCCTTTGGTCTGTTTAGTCTTCTTTCTTCTTTGAAGTGCACTAGCCCCTAGAGCTTAAATCATATTTATTGAAAGATCTGAACTTCACTTGTTCCTTTTGGTTCATTTCTTAAATTATAACTCATGATTAGTCAAATTCCATAATTTCACCTTATACATAGATACACACACATATATGTCCTCAAGTATTTCCTTGTTCACCATAAATGTTGCTTTGTTATCCTATTTAATGTGGAAGCTACTGGTTTTCCTTTCCTTCATCATATAACATATTTTCAGTGGAATTTTCATTTAGGTCAACGAGGAGTATATGAGAACACTTGAGATCTTAAGTAAGAAGCTGAAATTTGTTGAAGTGGATCTTATGGTTAAAACTTAAAAAGCCCTTAAAGATGTTAAGAAGGAGCTTAAAAAACTGAGGCAGAAAGCAGTTTCAAAGGTAGTTAAATGGTGTTCCCAGGTGTTCACCCGAGCTTGGTTTAGAATTATGACTTCTCTTATGAAAACAATGATGATAGTTTTGAATAGGGAAGTAAATGATGTTAAATGACCATGCAGTGAACTTTTCTTCACGGCACCTTTGTCTGCTAACAAGGGCACAAGAATTCAATGTGACTATCTTCATCGTTTTGCAGGTTTCTGACTTCATTGTCCAGAAGCTTTATGCATTGAGAAAACCCAAAACAAACATTCAGATCCTTCAGCAGAATGTTCTTCTTAAATACAAGTGAGTTATCTATATGGCACATATATCTTTTTGGTCATGTGTTTGATCATTTTTCAATATCTTGTTTCAACTGTGTTTGGTCCTGCTGGGATGCAAGCTCTCTCTAACATGGTACAGTTTATTTACGTAGCTTTGTAAATGCACATTTAGATATACATACAATCAGACTTAATGCACATTAATCTCTATGGCCAATTCTTTTAAGTTTCTTTTTATAAATTCTTCTTTCTTATAATGCTTAAAATTTATTTATGCATACTGTTGTAATTTAATTGGTTTTTGGTACTTATATCTGCTACGAAATGCCGTAACCATTTTATAGCTGTGTACACTTTTTTTGTAATCTTTTACTTTTCTTACTTTTCTTACTTCTAAACTTCTCTAAGGCATTTGATGAGAGGACTTAACATGATTGCTGAAGTATGGATTTGGTAAGGTTAGGTACATAGTAGTCCAAGTCCTACACTTCTAGTCCTTCTTACATGGGAGATAATACAGACCTATTTAATTTTAATCAAAATCTAACTAAAACAAAACAATGTAACCTTTTGTTGAATAAAAATAATTTTTGGCTTTGGACTTGCATTCTTTGTTTAAGAATGTGGGTGTGGCATCACTTTTTCCTGCTTGCGGAGGACCATGATTGAACATGAAATCTGCTTCTAGTAGCAAGCTGGTTCTCTGCATTACCTTTCTGGACCACATTGTCTGTCACTTCCTCTACTTGTCAACAGGCCCCTTTATCAGACTTAGAAGATGTTGAATTGATTTTATCATTTGGCCTTTAATACATGAATAGATAATTATTAAATTCTTTTCTCATAACTCCCAACATATTCTATTGACAAACTTAATTATTTTTTGTTTCAAATGTAGAGATTTCATTTGTTAATGTTGTGCCACTTTTAATAATCTTTTCCCACGTCCTATGCTTAGGTGTGGTTCATGGGTGAGCAATCACAGATCTCAATGGACATTGACAATGTGAGTTTGCTTTTCCTCTCGTTGGTTCTTGTTAGTGTTTTTTACTTACATGATATATATAATTAATGTCATCTAGTTTATACGTGAATTTTGGGAAACCTTTTTTTTCCTTATTATATTTTAAGTTGGACTATGGGGTACACTAGCAAGTGTGCACGGTGTTTGCTTTTCGTATTAATTTGAAGTAATTTTCCATTCTGAAATAGATTATTTCAGTGACTTTGGAGAACTACCTCGATCTTCAAATGAAACCAGAGGATGGTAAAGAAGCGAGGCAACATTATCAATCTCAGGACCAGTGGGTTCAAAGGGTGCTTAAAGAAGAATCTCATGGGTCATCTTTTCCAGATATGAGTAAGAGGGTTTCTTCTCTCCAGAACCCTGTGATTAAGCCTTATTTGTATTCAACAACGTAAGGCATCATTTTTTACTTCTTGGGTATATATTCTTTATATAAGGAGATTTCTCAAATGTAGTTAACATACTTAGCTTTATATGCCAATTTGACAGTGACACTTTTAAGAGCCCCTCTTACTGGGCCAAAGTTTGCTTGAATAATATTGCCAGGTTGGCTAAGGAAACTACAAGAGTGAAGCGTGTGGTTGAACCCCTTTTCCATCATTTTGATGTAGAAAATCATTGGTCATCAGATACAGGAGTTGCCTGTTCTGTTATATTGTACCTGCAGTCGCTTTTGGAGGAATCAGGTTACATATGGAATCTTAATGCTCCAGCAAGAACCTTAATGCTCCATCTTGCTGCAATTATTTTTTTATTAGTTTTTCTGTGGATATAATTGATATGAACTTTTTTTTTTTGGTTTAATCTCCAGGAGGAAACTCCCACCTGTTGCTATCTATCTTGATCAAGCACTTGGTTCATAAGAATGTTGCCAAGCAATCTCATGTACAGATTCATAATGTTGACATTGCCACACAACTCACACAAAATGCAAAGCTGCAGGCCTCTGTTGCTATCATTGGTGCAATAACTGACTTGATTAAACAGTTACAAAAATGCCTGCAAAATGCAGCTGAATTATCTAATGCTGTGGATGATATGGCTAAATGGAATGCTGATCTTCAATATGCCTTAGAAAATTACATTTCACAGCTCTCAAAGAAGGTTTGCGATTGTTTATGTTTTTTTATTTTTTGAAGTGTGAGTCAAAAATATTTATGCAGGCATGCCATATATGCAACTGTTACACAACTGTTTGTACTTAACAGGTTGGCGATGCAGGACCCAATCTTGATATGATGTCTGGTTTGCTAGAGAATATTTCAAATAATACTCTTATTGCTAGAACAACAATCTCGGCTGTTCATAGGACTGCTCAGATTGTCTCTTCCATCCCAAAGATATCATATATTCATATTACAAGAAGGCAAGTGTACTTGTTGAAATCGCAATATACTGTTCAGTTTTATGAAATTTGAAGAAACATCTAATTTTTGAGGATTTCTGTTTCAAGCTTTTGCTAATGCTCTGTTTCATCAGTTACTCCTAGCAATGGCTCATCCGGACCATGAAACCCGAGTTGGGGCGCATAGTGTATTTTCTGTTGTGCTAATGTCATCTCTGGTTTCCCCTTGGTCAGATCAGGGCAAGGATACTTCACAAGCTGTTTCTAGCATCTTGCCAATCTCTACTTCACAGAAAGTAAGAAGTGGAAGTTTCTCCTTTCAGGATGAAGGTAGGAGGACTGCAGGAGGAAAGTCGGGTACCAGATGTGAATGTGAAACACTCTCATAGTCAGTCATATAGCTTTAAGTGTGCTCTGACTAATGGAAAAACAGTATGAAACCCGAAAATCCAATAATTTTAATTTAAAGAGAGTGTTTTAGAAATTCTATTTAATCATTCACCTGTCTAAATTATTTCCCACAGATAACTTCCTTCCGACTGAGTAGCCATCAAGTGAGTGTTTTGCTTTCATCAATCTGGGTTCAAGCAACATCTGCAGAAAATAACCCTGCAAATTTTGAGGCTATGGCTCACACTTATACCATTGCTTTATTGTTTATGCAATTTAAGGTGATTCATGTTTATTTTATATTCCATTGTCTTTACATTATCTCCTGTGTGTTCCTTTTTCAGATATTTTGAACAAGTGGAACAAATTTTGCATGGTCTCATCATTTTTCTGAGTTTTTATGGCATGCCTGAAGTTTGATAATTATTTTTGTGTACTTTAGTACTGTACTTAACATCTATGGTTATCATTTTGGTGTTGACAGACATCCAGCCACATGGCCTTAGTTCGGTGTTTTCAGCTTGCTTTTTCACTTCGGTGCATCTCTTTGGACCAAGAAGGTAAGTTGCATCTAATGCAAATGGTTTAATTCATTTTTCAACTAAGCCATTTAAGAGAATATTTGTTGGGTACTCTGGATCATCTTGAATGTTTTCTTTTCCCATCCCAGTTATAAAATGGGTAAAATTACATTAATGCTCTATATGACTTTGTAAAAGTTGATAATACAAAAGACATGCGGCTCACCTATAATCAGAATCAGTTTATGCTATTTAACGCCAACGCAAATGTCCATTTAAAACATTTTTCATGATATGATTTGCTGCCCCCTCACCCCCGCCCGCCCACCACCAAGCAGGACCGCCGCCCACTCACTGAGGAGTGAGACCCCCGAATGCGTCTGCGTGGGGGACTTCAAGCCCATGCAAAGTATGAACCATATCCAATAGTTATTACGATTATTATTATTTCAAACGGAGAGCCACCTCTTTTAACTGTGTTTCTTGAGTTGTTCTTTGTTTTAATTGGATCTTGTATGATCAGGAGTTCATGAGTACAAACGTTTTTAGAAATTTTGTTCCAGTCTAAGATTGGTTCTATAAGTTCAGACATAAAAATACTCCAAGAGAAGTCAATGGATATGGGTCTGAAGCTGAAGAATCGCAAGATATGGTTTCTACTGGGGAAGTTTTGTGTCCCAGAAGATTCTGCTGTTATCTTAATCTTAATGGAGGATATGATGGTTGTTAATCTTAATGGAGGACATGATGGTTGTCAAGGAGCGACATCTAGTTCTGTTATTTTAATAAATTACTTTTGTCCTCAGACTTTTGTAAATCATATGTGCTCTCTCAGGCTCAAAGAATTGTTTTCCTAGGAAAAATGGTAAATTTTGAAGAGATTTTGATAAAAAAACAATTGATTATCTGTATAATATATTTGATATTATTAAAGTATAAAATAAAAGTAACCAGCTAAACAATTTTTAAATTAAATGAGTTCAAAATTTTAAAAGTTTAAGAAACTACTACTCATCCTTAATATGGTTTGTTCTCGTTTTGCGAGGGTAAACTTCTGAAAATATTATAGTTGTCTTAGTTATCTTTTATTCTTCTTGTTGTTCATCTCTAACTTTTGAAGTGTGTAAGACTTGATATATTACTTGTCAAGAGCATATTATGGATAGCTTTTCCAAATCAATATGCTTTGTTGGGGAAATTGATGGGATCGGAGAAGGGATGGTGAAAATGGAGTTGTACCAAATCCGCGTCAATTCAACCGAATGCGATTCAATTGGAATCGCACTCGACCAAGTGTGATTCGTCCTAAATCGCACCTGGCCGAGTGTGACTCTAGCCAATTGATGTGAGAAGATTTTGTTTATTGATTTGTGTGAGAAGATTGTGGTGAGAAGGTTGGGTGCAATTTTGATTGATTCGCACCTCATTAGGTGCGATTCCGACCAACTATTTTTTTTTTTTTTTTTTTCAGTTTGTAATTTTTTTTTTTTTGGATGATGTTGTTGTGTGTTGATTTGGATAAGGGTGATGATGTTGTGTGTTGATTTGGATAAGGGTGGATATTTTGTGTGTTGATTTTTGTGAGAAGGTTAGACGCAATTCTGATTGATTCGCACTTGGCCAAGTGTAATTCCACTGCAATCGCTAGTTGAATCGTTGGGTATGGATTTGGATTCAAATAATAAAGGGAATTTTAGTCTTAACAGTAATTATATCATGTCAGTTAACGAATTTTAGCAACGGATCTAAGCGGTGGGTGGGAAAGTGTTGTTTCGCCAAACCTTGGGTGGGAAAAGTTGGTTTCCCTTTAATTGCTGGGTCTAAGTCGCTGCAAATATTTGCGTAGGAGCTTATAGTATTTAATAGTTTTTAAGTCAAAAGAATTTTAATGATATTCTAATTTTCGTTTAACATTACCATTTAATTAGAGTATATTGTGGTTATTGATTTAAAGTAAAGTTAGAATGGATCTATAATTTTTTTGTGGGAGTCCTAATTTCGATTTGGAATAAGCATTTCTTATATAAAATCATGAAAAGAAATATTATTTCCAATTTGTTTTTATGGCTTTTCCATAACTGTTTCTAATCATGAGTTTTTAAGAAAGACAAGAGGTTAAAAAAAAATTAGGAAATTAGAGAAGTTAAAAAAGATTAAAAGGGTAATTTTAGAATAAATTAAAATTTATTTATTTTTCTAATTGATTTTGGGGCTTAAATAACATCACTCTAAAATAATTATATAATGCAAAAAATATAAAAAATAAAAGATAAACAGTTATTTTAAAATTGCTCCAAGTATAATTAATACATATAATTCAATAGTAACTTAATTACAAAATAATGAAATCAAGTAATTAAAACGGGTCAAATAAAATAAAAAATATAGTGATGTGACTGACTAATTGCGAAATTTCAATTAACTGCATCCATAGTAAACTCCAGATCCCGAAATGGAGATTAAAAATCCCATCCATTCATGTGAATTAAATCATAAACAAATACCCCATATTATATATATATCATAACATCCTATTCAACAAGACATAACCATCAGACATCTTCAATTTATAGATTCCAAAATACAAAAAAAAAAAAAATCTACCATTATATAACAGTAGCTTACAACCTACAATGGCAGAATAACAAAAGCCTGGTCTTCTGTAGGCCTTTAGCATGTCTACAAAAAGAGAAATATCCATATTCTTTCTGTTGTGCATGATTTTCCTACGGTTTGATTCGCGTCAACTGTCCGCAAACTATGTCGAGATCGGGCGAACAGGGTCACCCCACACGTCGCTTCCGCGACAGATGACTTGGTCAATAAGTCTATTAGTCACAAGCATGATTACTTTGACTTAAGTATGGGTAAACACCAACTCAGATCCGAATTCCAAGAGATTATGCATGTAATCCACTCATAATCTACTAACTCTCAACCATTGTCATAAGCATGTATAAAAGGGAGACATCACCTCAATTGTTGGGATATAAATAGACAACCCTATCAAAACTCTAGAAAAACACTCGTAAGCAAAGAACATACTTAGTGGAGCATTGTTAGCTCGCTACTACGATTCTCATCTTGTAATCACCCCGTATGTACTGCGAGCATAGGCAATAAAATAAGGCTTGGTTTTAATTTGTCGAACCACTTTAACGTAGTTCTCATCTTGTGATCACCCCGTATGTACTTCGGGCATAGGCAATAAAATAAGGCTTGGTTTTAACCCACCGAACCACTTTAAAAACCTTCTTTGTCTTTCGTTATTTAGCACAAACCCTATTTCTAGCTGATTAATTTTAATCACGCGTACATCCTACCCAGACCTGACTTGGTCGACCGAGTATCTCTGGTTCTTTCGGAAAAACACTCTCTAAAAATAATCATTCTTGGTACTTTAACAGACAACAAACATATTATGGAGCAAACATATTCTGGAAAAACTCATAATATCAACTAACTGATACAGAGCAAAACCAGGTTAACAATTAAGAGTGTGAACAGATCAAATAAAGTTACCAGATCAGAGGTCAGTGGGCGGTTGAGTTGGAAGGAATAAGGCAGTCGAAATTGAAACTGCTTCCTTCTGGTGTATTCTGAAAACTAGCAACCAAATTCTCGACAATGGGACTTCAATCGAATGCCAAGCCCCGTTAGATAGTCATTTTCAACCTGAAAGCATGTTCAGAGTTCTGGAGTTTGGGTTAGAAAAACCATTTATGAAACAAATAGGTCAAGAAGAGATAAATAATAATAAGAATTGCGGCTAAATTAATTCGATCTCGATTCCGTTTCTTCAGCATCGTTGTTACTCCAGTCAGAACCCGTTCTTTCCAATGCATTCGTTTCCACATGGATGCGTTTAACCATGGACATAAGAAATTATCATAATTGTAATGTTATTGCGGTATTTTTCCCTATCAACCAAGAAAAATGACAACTAAATAAAAATTTACTACTCTGAAACACCGGGTCCAAAACAATTGTAATGGTTAGTGATGTAATTAATGAGACCGACGTGATGTGGAAGAATTCATTATACCTTATACTTTCATGTATTGTTCCATGTATTTGTAAGAAATTCCCAGTCACTGTCTCTGACATAGTCAGGCTTCGTGTTCATACCTTGAGCCTTGTCCTCGCATTGCATGTACGCCTTCTTCCAGTCGTAGTTGTAAAAATCAGAAGAATTATACAACAATTTGTACACATTCAACAATCCAAATAAGGGAATGAAATAATCTAAACTAGGAAAGAGTTGATCTAATTTCCTATTCTAAAGATCATATTCCTAAAACATATGATCATATTCCTAAAACGGTTGATTTGTACAACTCAACACTCCCCCTTAAGCTGGGGCATATAAATTATATGCACCAAGCTTGTTACAAATAAATTCAATATGAGGACCCCTAAGTGATTTAGTGAGAATATCTACTAGCTGATCATTTGAGTTGACATGACTAGTGGTGATACAACTAGATAAGATTTTCTCTCTGATAAAATGACAATCAATTTCTATATGCTTAGTCCTCTAGTGAAACACCGGGTTGGAGCCAATATGGAGAGCAGCTTGATTATCACAAAGTAACTTCATCTTTACTACTTCTGTAAACTTCAATTCTTGGATTAGTTGCTTCATCCAAATGAGCTCAGAAGTTGCTAGATCCATTGCACGGTATTCTGCTTCTGCACTCGATCTGGTAACAACATCTTGCTTCTTACTTTTCCAAGATACAAGATTTCCTCCTACAAGAATACAAAAACCTGAAGTGGAACGTCTATCAGATAGAGAACCTACCTAGTCAGCATCAGAATATCTGACAATCTGTGTATGACCCCTGTTTTCATATAATAGTCCTTTGCCTGGTGTGCCGTTGATATATCTTAAAATCCAAATAACTGCATGCCTATGACTGTCACAAGGACACTATAGAAACTGACTAACAATACCAACAGAGAAGGAAATATCAGGTCGTGTAATGGTGAGATAGTTAAGTTTACCAACCAGTCTTCGGTATTTCCCAGCATCTGCAAGAGGCTCCCCCTGTCCAAGTGAGAGCTTTGAATTAGGATCCATAGGAGAGTCTATCGGTCTACAATCTGACATCCCTGTTTCTTCCAGAATATCCATGGCGTATTTTCTTTGAGAAATAACAATACATGAGCTAGATTGAGCCACTTCGATACCAAGGAAGTATTTTAAGTAATCCCAAATCTTTGGTTTGAAAGTGGGGGAACAAGTGTGTCTTCAACTGTTTAATGCCATCCTGATCACTTCCCGTAATAACAATATCATCAACATAGACAATCAGATATATGCATTGCTCTGATGAGTTATGTTTATAGAAAACAGAGTGATCAGACTCACATCGAATCATCCCAAACTCTTGAATGGCATTATTGAGTCGTCCAAACCGGGCACTAGGGGACTGTTTTAAACCATACAGAGAGCGACGAAGTTTACATACCAAGGCAGACTCCCCCTAAGCAACAAAGTCAGGCGGTTGCTCCATATAGATTTCTTCCTGAAGCTCACCATGAAGAAAGGCATTCTTAATGTCTAATTGGTACAGAGGCCAGTGGCGGAGAGCAGCCATTGATAAAAACAAGCGGACATAAGACATCTTAGCCACAGGAGAAAAGGTCTCGTAATAATCCAACCCATAAGTCTGAGTATACCCTTTTGCAACCAACATTGCCTTCAATCGATCAACCTGTCCATCTGGGCCAACCTTGACAGTATAAATCCAATGACAACAAACAGGCGATTGGCCAGGAGGCAAAGGAACTAATTCCTAAGTATTATTATGATGTAAAGTCATCATCTCTTCAACCATAGCTTGACGCCAGTCGGGATCATTCAGTGCCTCACGAACATTAGAAGGAACAGAGCCAGAAGAAATGGTTGACACAAAAGCATAATATGATGGAGATAAGCGGTGATCACTAAGAAAATTATAGATTGGATGATGGTTACGAGTGGACCGCATACCTTTACGAATTGCAATGGGAAATTGGTCTTGAGGAGGTAGGGCCGCAGCAGGAGAGAAATCTGACGTAGGAGGATCAGGAACAAGAGCCTCAGTAACAGGAGCCTTAGGAACATCATCAAGAATAGTGTCAATAGTCTTACTTGGAACAGTAGCATCACCTATAGGAGGAGACTCGCCCATAGGGGTAGGACTTGGAGGAATAGTAACAAACTCTACAGGATGATTATAAGTAGATTCAATGTGGGATATATGAAGGACTGTGGTGATAGAATCATTGTCTGATGTAGAAAAGAAAGGAGAAGACTAAAAAAAGGTAACATTAGTGGACAGAGAGTATTGACGAGTGGATGGAGAATAACACTTATAACCCTTTTGAAGTCTTGAATATCCTAGGAAAATACATTTAGTAAATTTGGTAGACAGTTTGTTGGTACCTGGGGAAAGGATATGGACAACACATGTGCCACCAAAGATACATAGAGGAAGAGAGTGTAACAGTTGATCAGGGAACAAAACAGAATGAGGGACCTGGTTTTGTAGGATAGAAGAAGACATCCTATTAATTAAGAAACATGCAGTTAACACAACGTCTGCCCAGAACCAGAAATGAACCTGATTATGTAAAAGCAGGGTTCGGGTAGTTTCAATCAAATGTCTATTCTTACGCTTAGCAACTCCATTTTGCTGTGGAGTATAAACACAAGAGGATTGATGGAGAATTCCTTGAGATGACATGAATTTGCTAAAAGGAGCAGAAAAATATTCACGAGCAATATCACTTCTTTTGTTTAAAATTTTGTTTATTTTATTTGTTTAATTAAGGCATAGTATATTAGGATTAATTGAGTGCTTACAAATCTCTGTGGGATTGACCCTTGCTTTTGCACACTAGACTATGATAGCGATTTGTGCACTTGCGAGGAATTAAAATTGTTCATCAATAATCTTCCAAAACTAATAGTAATTATTGTTAGTTATATAGTTGGTAATCTAACTATCACCATTTTCTTAGGTATTCTGAGATTATTTGGTAATCTTAATTTTGTTATAATTTTACCCCCAAAGGTGCGTTTGTGTTATATAATGTTTTATTATAGGGGGATGCTATATTAATGGAAAAATATATCACCTTGAAGATTGCTAGGAATGTTTAGGAAATGTGTTTAATTGGTTCGAATACATTGGTGAGTAATATGTTTAGTTGGAAGGATAAATGGGTGGGTATGTTATATAGATTACTAAATTGCCCTTTTAAAATATTAATATAATATTATTTTTTATTATTTTTTTAATAAATTTTTTAACCCCCTACATTTGAAATTTTGCTAAAACACCCCAACCATATAAAACTTTAATTTGTAGCAAAATCACTCACACTCACCACAAGCCACTACCAACAGCCAGCCACTACCACTGGTCACCGCCAGCAGATGATGAAATGGCGCACGACTGGCCGTATATGGCCAGCCGTGTGTCGAAAAAGCCATTTCCAACCATGGATCACAAATCTATGGCCGTTTCACGACCACAAATCTGGCTAAAAAAAAGGCTAGATCTTTGGCCATGAAACAGTGGTTTTTTCATGGCTAGATCTGTGGTCATTTCACAACCACATCTTTGGCCGTGAAATGACCTTGTCGACGCATGATCGGCCAAATCCTGTCGGTCGTGCGCCATTACGATAACTGGTATCGATGGCCGACGATGGTCTTAGGTGACTAGAGGTATTTTGTTAACTTTTAAATTTCTTGTGGCTGTGGTGTTTTAGCTAAATTCTTAAATGTAGGGGGGTTGTGTAATGTTTATTTGGTAGACATTTGAAGACAGTTGTGTCTGAAATGGTATTTAATTAAGAGCAAAATAGGTATAAAAATCAGATTACCTTGTAATTGTTTAATAACAACCCTGGGTGAGGGTATTGGATTACCCCCTACATTACTAACAATAAACACTATTTGTAATAAAGGATACCTGTAATATTTTATTACTTGCAAACCAAACAACGAAATTTTTCAAAATAAACGAAGATTACCCCCGTTATCTTATATGATCCCGATCCAAACGCACCCTACATAATACATTTTTTTAACATTATTACCCTTATTCTGAAAACAATTTACCCAGAACACCCCAGCCACCATCTGACAATTGTAATTTAGTTGCAATTACAATTGTAATCACGATCGATTTGTAGTTTTCATGAACTAGGCCAACCTCAATAGTTCAGATATTATATTTGGGGGCTTGAGCAAACTAACATAAAATGTACTTGACCTTTGTAATTCATCGGCACGATCTTTTTTTTTTTTTTTTGAAACTTACAATACCCATTACAAGTTCAATTGAATTACGAAGGTCAAGCTAATGCTTATTCATTGGTTGCATCAAGATTAATTTTACTGATTTTCTTTTATTTAAACATCTTTTCTGCACTAATCTTTATTGTTCAACATACTTGTTGTCAAGATTAATCGCTTCACTGTTCATGTACTTGAAGAGTAATCAAATTGTCTACTGAAAGTCTGATTTATTTTGCATCTTTTGAAATATGTCCAATGGGTTAACTGAACAATTTTGAATATTTTTCCCCCTCATGGGTACAACTGTCTATTTGTTTTTCCTTTTTCAATCTATATTTTGTTGAATAATTACGGTTTAACAATTCCTCCTATAAAACTACTTTCATTCCTTTCTTCTTCTTCCAATCACTCAATTTTCACAATATTGATCTTACCCATCTGATTATAATATATAAATATACCCTTTTTGGTTGTTTGACATGTGAAATATTTTAGAACTTGTAGAATTGTTCTATCTTGACACATTGGATTGACAAATAGGATTTGTTGTTTAATGAGTCTAATCAAATTGCTTCATCTTGATACATTGAATTTGTATTTATTGCTCCATCTATAATTAATAATTAATAAAAATTATTAGATTTGTATTAATAATAATAATAATAATTTTAGATGTATTGTGTAACTCCCCACTTGAGGTACGTAGTTAAATGTTTATTATTTTGCTCTTAATTGAGTTTGTATGTTGTTAATATTGGTTGGTTGGCCCTTGGTTGAATTGATGTTTTGGTTTGGTTGAGTAATTGCCCTGAAATTGGTTAAGACTTGGTGAATTTTGAGGTTACAGTCTTCGTCGGGGCGAGGAATAGTCTTTGCCGCGGCGACGTAGGCCCTGGATTTCTTCGCCGCGGCGAAGAGCCGGCTGAAAAGTTGGATGAAGTTTCTAGAGAATTTTCCACAGGGGCAAAGTGACCATTCTACCCCTAATTAGCAGGAAAAATGGGGAGTGAAATGCAAGAAAATTTCATGGAGAATGTGTTAGAATTAGGAGTGTGAGTGCAATGAATTAAAGGATAAAGATGGAATTTCTAAGAAAGAGCAAGGGCAAAATGGGAAAGGACGTGTATAATATGAGCTAATAAGGGTTTAGTCTTAGTAAACCCTTCATTCTTCTACTTCCACCGCCATTCCCATTCACCACTTCCTCTCAACTTTTCACTCAATCTTTCAAGGATTTTAGAGGGCTTTTGAGTAGTTTTTGGGTAGAGAGTTAAATCTAAGGCTTCCTAAGGTAAGAATTCTTGCTTTAGCTGTGAAACTTACTTAGTAAAGTATTGAAGTCTTATTATGTTATTGTTTAAAGTTGTAGAGAAAAGATTACCTACCAAAGGAAAAGAAGTGCTAGAGGAGTCACTTACTCACAAGGTAAGTAAATCCAACCCAAGTTGAGATTTAAGAAATCTATTGAGTAGAGATTTATGTTTGCATGTGTATGTTATGTTATTAAGGAATTGAGATGAGATCTGTATTAAGTTAATGGTTGTTGGATATGTTACTTTATGAGAAGTGTTTGATGTGTGAAGAGAGGTTGAAGTTGAGATGAAATTGGAGGAGTATTGCATAAATCTTTTTGGGAGTGTTTTCCTTGACAGGAATTATGGCTATATGAGGAAGTTTTCTCCCATTTTGGATGGTTAAAGAGAGAAGTAGAGTTATGGTTAAAGTAGAGTTTTTGTATGCACATGAGTTGTTTGATGAAATGCTTAAGAAAAGCATGAGTAAGAGTAGAAAACCTTAATTATTGTAACATTGCATATTTGCATTTCATGAGTGCATTAATGAGCATGAGTTATCTATATGCCTTGATTGTGTACTTGAGAAGTAGCTTGAGAAAGAGTAGAGAATTTTGAGAATCAACTACTTTAAGAGTAAAGAGAAAGAGAGAATGAGCACTATAGAATAAAAGAAAGAGAAGTGCTAAAGAAGAGAGTAGAGTAGGTTGTGCGATGGGCAACCCGTAAGTGATGGGTAGAGTATTCCTGCATGTACGCTGCATTGAGAGAGCGGCATGAGTATAAGAGAAAGAAGTGGTATAGCCTGTGAGAGTACATGCGGATGAGGGCTATACCCGAGAGTACCCAAGAGAGAGATTACACTCATATGGCCAAGGGTTCTGAATCCATGCATAACCAAGTCTGATCGGCAGAGAATGAGTAAAGTCACGAGAGTGGTGCCTCCGGTAAGATGGGGCCGTGACATTTGAGTGAGTAGAAGTCACGAGAGTGGGATGAGTTCCCAGCCGTGCCTCCGGTAAGATGGGCCCATGACATTTGAGTGAGTAGAAGTCACAAAGAGTGGGAGTGAGTCCCAGCCGTGCCTCCGATAGGATGTGGCCGTGGCATTCCAATGAGAGGGTTAGTAGAAAAGTGTTGTGAGAAAGAGAAACAGAAAGAGAAAATGAGAGAGTAATGTAAGGAAAGAATTAAGAGATGAGTTACGAGGATAGAGTAGTAGAGGATTTACTTACTGAGTATTATTTGTGCTCATCCCGTTCTTTTCTATGTTTTTACAGGATCTAGGTGAGGGCGCGGTCGGATGGACGTCGGCAGGCGAGGAGAAATAGCTACACTGTCCACCATATTTTTGATGACTTTTGTAATGTATATATTTAATAAAAGAAAAATTTTGGGCCCATCTACTTTTGCTAATATACATGTACTTGTATTATACATATTTTTTTTATGAGGATATGTGTAGTAAGCAGCTATTACATATTGCATTAGCATTCAAAGACTTAACCATTGTGACACTTGGATTGGTATTAAAAACAAGTATACAGGTGCATTGCATGGCATTGTGAATGTTCTGTAGAAATTTCTCACATCCATATTCACTTAATGAAAGATATTAATGAGAGATATTAATAACAATTATAGAGATCTCACATCCACATTCACTTAATGAGAGATTAATAACAATTATACAAGTGCAATGGTATTCCAAAGGTCATATCAACCCAAGCGTCTCTTAATTACATGATTTTCTGTCTCATCTCTCTAATTAAACTCACCCTATCCATTTAACTGCTCAAATATAATCAAAATGTTGGGAGAACGACATGTTCCCACCCAAGGTTCGGCGAAACGATATTTTGCCACCCGTCAGGTTTTAAAATGACACTTTCCTACCCACCGTATGTTCCATCAAGAAAATCTGTTTTCTAACATGTATAAACAGTGTAAAGACAAAACTACCCTTCTCTTTTTTCTTCTTTCCTCTTTGCAAAAAACGCTGCCGATTTGCACCTTACCCTGGAAGCCTGACTTTGCTTTAGGTTCACTAGATTGTGTTACAATATTAACATTACAAGAAGAAACTGATTTTAAAAACAAATCATCCTTTTCAAAGCTACAAATGGTATTAAAATATTTATGTTAAAATGACTGTCGAAGCTTGAACATAGATCTGGATTTTCGGAAATATGAAGCGAAACTTTCATGTGGTATAGTAAGACGATTAGTGCGGTGTTACACCTTTCAAATTCTGAACAAATGACATTATGTTTTCCACTAGTTATTCTGATCAAGATGGAGCTCTTTGAATCATTCTCAAACTAAAAATTTCAAGCAAAAGTTCTCTACTTGAAAAACTATACTAAAATTAGAAAGGGAGATAAAAAGGCAAAACTACTCTCTCCGACATACAACACCTTTAGAGCAACAACGGTCTTCCCTTTCTCAGACAGAATATATAAAAGACTACCAAAATTGGGTGCACAACCCTGTGCATTAGCAGATCAATGCGTCCAAGGGCTTCCTCAACATGGCCTCTCATGAGAAGAGCTTCCAAGACCTTGGCGACCAAATCGCAGCCAGCCAAATCGACGTGGATCTGGTGCGATTCCGTTTTTACCATCACTTCTCTGATCCCATCAATTTCCCCAACAATTCAATAAACAAAAAACAACCCATTTTCCCAAATAACAACGATATAATGCCAGATTTGGGCAATTGGTGGGGGAGGGGAAATGATGAAAGTGATATCATTTAGCAGAGAGAGTAGTGTGTCTTGAATAAGAAGGAGAGAGAGTTAACTTGGCGGATGAACTGAGCATAGGTGAGAGCTTGATCGATAATGGCGTTGATGAGAAAAGTAGTGGAGAGCGGCAGTGGGGTGAGGAAGGAAGCGTTTGAATTCAGGGTGTTTTTTTTCAAAAGTTTGTGTATAAGAGATAAAATGACACAAATACCCTTCATCTGTATTTTAAATTTACCATTCTATCATTTTTTAGTTAAAGTTAACGGACTGTGGGTGCGAAAATGTCGTTTTGAAACTTGATGGGTCGAAAATTGTCGTTTCGCCAAACTTTGGGTTCTCCCCAAAATGTCTCATCTCTCTCCCCTAATGGCAACTCAGCCTTTTACTATCACAACTCACGTCGCCGCTCTATCACCTCCTCCATGCGACACCACAACCACCGCCAGAGCCTTCACAGTCGTCCCACTTCCGGCACTTGCCGGTGAGCTCTTGATTCTCCCACTCCGGTTTAGTAGACGATGTTTCAAGATGTTAAATCCGAGTATGTTGTTTATGAGAGCATCCTCTTTGGAGGGGCTAAAGGTCCGCACAGTTTTTTTTTTAATTTTTTTATAAAAATTAATTTTGTATTAAAAATTTTGTTGCAAAGAACGGTCAAGTTACAGATTTTGACAGCCAAATTTCTACAGACAAGATAGCTAAGACGTCATGCAACTTTCCTGATTGGAGAGCAAGGTTTGGATCTAGATCTATTGACCGGATGATTCAAATCTCTTGATTTTCCGTTTGGTTCTCGAGAAAATTTTGGATTTTCCCGGCAAACGAACGGATTTGTAATTTTTGAATCATATGTTCTTTATTGTTGTGAAATTGAGAATTTCGTCTGTGTTTTTGTGTGATTAGGTGTTTTTCTTTGGAAATTTTTGAAGATGAATCAATTGTATCATCGGAAGAACGCCTTTGGCGCCCGTGAGGAGACGCACGGTTTTGAATTCTCTGATCAGAGGGAGTCTGTTGTTTGTCCGAAGCCACGACGAGTTGGGATTTTGAATTCTCTTTCCTTTTAAACTTTGTTTTTGTTTATTTAGAAATTTCAGTTTTAATGGAATCGTCATTTCATTACAGTCATCCAGTTGGGGTGTCTGATTCAAACGCCGGGGCAGAGCTTCTAGACATCATTCTCACGAAGGTAAGCTTAATTAATTGTTAAGGTTTTATTATGTGAAACGATTAGTTTTTTCATTTGTGATGTATGACTAAGTCTGCAAAGGGTGACGTTTTTAATTGAATATAAATATTTTATGTTTTTATTTGATTGTTTTAAATGTAGGTAATGGGTGAGGCTGATTTTCAGCGTAATAGGGATTTGGAGAAGGTAATTTTCTTTTTTATGTGTATATGTTTCTTTGTAATAAACGTCGTTTCAATTTATTTGTGCTGGATTTTGAAATTTTGTTTGTATGTTGGAAGTTTTTGGTTGATTCGGGTTGTAATTTTTTCCCTCACTCAGCTTCGCTTATTATTATCTTCCAATTCTTCATTTTAATTTCTTATTTTGTCCAATTTTTTTGCAGTTTTCGTGTAGAAGAAGACTCGGGCATGTTCAATCCAGTAACTTCTCATCTTTCTTTGTTGAATGGTTGTACTATGAGTTCAAGATACCCTAATTCATAATTCTTTATGTATAGTGGTTTAAATTATATTTATAACGGTAAAAGTTTTAACCATGAGTCTTTTCTTATTCAACAGTGACAATTGCAGCATGTCGATTGTTGCCCCAATCCTGATTGTTCTTATGATCTCTGCCGGACTTGCTGTGGAGAAATAAGAAAAGGTTTTCAACAGGGACGTATTGAAGAAGAGCTTCCTGAATAGCAGTTAGCTGAAAAAGCAAATGGTCAGGTTACAGATTTTGACAGCCAAATTTCTGCAGACAAGATCACTAAGAAGTCATGCAACTTTCCTGATTAGAGAGAAGAGGCTGATGGTAGAATTCCTTGTCCTCCCAAAGCACATGGAGGTTGTGGTACTTAGATACTTGCACTAAGACACATCTTTGATGCTAATTGGATTGTAAAACTGATTAAGACTGCAGAGGACCTGACTATCAATTATAAGCCGCTGGATATTTTTTCTCAAGGATGTTTTTTGTGCAATCATGTATATTCTGCTGAAAATGGAGTAAAAACTTTTGGAGTTAGGCAGGCAGCTCATAGGGACAACAGTCAGGACAATTATCTCTACTGCCCAACTGCTACTCAAGTGGGAAACAATGAAATCGAGCATTTTCAAATGCATTGGATGAGAGGTGAACCTGTGATAGTTACAAATGTGCTTGAAAAGACTTCTAGTCTTAGTTGGGACCCAATGGTCATGTGGAGGGCTTTTCGAGGGACACCAAAGATTTTAAAAGAGGAGGCTCATAAGGTTAAAGCCGTTGATTGTTTTGATTGGTGTGAGTTATGTGTTCATGTTTTTATATCCCAGAGTTGCAGTACACCTTTCTGTAGTTGCTGACATGTTCCTCTAGAGGCATACCTCCTTACTGGCCCAGTTCCATTACAGGCCAGTATTTTACTTGGTTCATGTATTATTACTTTTAACTTTTTCCTTTTTAATGATAATTGGTTTTGTAAGCTTTAAATCTGCTCTGTATTTTTACTTTCATACTGTTATGTGCCTTCATATGCCTGTTACTTCACTCTAAACCAAAATCACAAGCTTCTCAATACAAAACGAGCATTTAACTTAAATTCTTGACTGAAGAGTTGACATAAATTCTCAACCATTCATTCTGTTTAATCTAATTTTGTATTAAAAATTTTGTTGCAGAGGGTATTGATGTTGCAGCTTCTCATCCATTGATTACAAGCAAAGTTGCCATTGGTTTAGGATCAGTAGTATTGAAGAGTATGTCCTAGATACCTATATTTACCTGTTTTATGTCTATCGTACGGTTGTGTGTATTTAGTATGGTAAAATTTTGCTATTTAGTCTTTTGATTTGTCTATTATTAAATATAATTAAATAGTCATGTATAAGTAGTACTAACAGTAAAATATGGAAGGATATTTTTTTCTGCTGCAGTGGGCATTAGCAGATACTCTTAATGTGCATTGTCCTAAACACATCTCAAAACGGTGGGTTTAGTCTTAGATTATCTTGAACCCTGAGAACTTACTTTGCTGGTGATGACTTTTTGTTGGTTGGTCTACATATATATGGTTTTCCATGAATGACATTCTGAACCTTTATAATATCCTCAGGATTGGTCTCTTGAACTCGAAGAAGTTTTTTCACTTGAAAGGGAAGGAGAATTTGATAAGAATGCTCCTCTGGCATGGTAAGTTGCAATTAATTTACAGAAATTAAAGAGAAAAAACTTTTGCAGTTAATGTGATGTGTTATATTCTACTCCATCTGCTGTAAAAATTCTCCACTCTGCAGGTTCTTGGTTGACTAATTTTGTGGGAATACCTAGCCAAGGACTGAGAATAGCGCATCCTGAAGCACCAGCAACTGGCTATATGGTTCTCTCACTCTCCCATTGTTTGTGTGTGTGTGTGTGTTCATGTGCACTTGTAATGGATGTGTGTGTGTTTGTGTTCAGGTGTATCTGCACTGCAAGACTAATTAACTTTTTAAGAATCTTTCACAATAGTTTGGCAAGGGGATACACTGATAAGAAAAATCCTGAGGGCCTAATGCTTTTTTAGTGAAGTAGCGTTGGGAGAGGTCTACACGGTCAAGAAGGCAGAAGTGAGTTCACCTTCCATTTTACATGTGTATCCTAATTCTTGACGTTTCCCTGCATTGTTAGGTGAGTCTATTGGGTGGTGGTTTTTTTTTTTTTTTTTTTTTTTATTGTGTCACATTTGTCTGTTGAGATATTACACTCATTTATTGTGTTCCCATAACAATTATAACTTATGTATGCTGCTACATCATTTTGTGTGTAATCCTGTATTATAATGGACACATTTTATTTAATCATAAGTTTGGCCCAGTATAATGTGTAGCGTGTGCGAGAAATAATTTCTAATGCATATGTTTCCATACCAGTTCTTTTTCATAGTAATTTCTTTCTGCTCTGTGATTCAATATATGGATAAACCTCAGAAAGATGTGGTTCGTTCTGAACCATGAAAAGGTTAGAAATGTGTTGATGACACGAAATAGTTAGACCAAGGTGGTAGAAATGATTGATATGTGAGTGAAACAGAAGCATTATATAGATGTTTTGAAGTTTTTTTTTTTTTTTTTTTTTTTTTTTTTTTTTTTTTTTTATATCAAGGCCATTTAGTTGTATTACAATTGTTAATCACGATCGATTTGAGGTTTCATGAAATAGGTCAACCTCAATAGTTCAAATATTTATTTGGGGCTTGAGCAACCTAACACAAAATGTACTTGACCTTTGCTTTGTAATTCATTGGCATGTCTTTTTCTTTTTCTGAAACTTATAATACCCATTACAAGTTTATTGGATTACGAAGGTCAAGCTAATGCTTATTCATTGGCTGCTAGACAAAACATGAGATTAAGATTAATTTGCTGATTTTCTTTTATTTAACATCTTTTCTGCACTGATCTTTATTGTTCAACATACTTGCTCCAAGATTAATCGCTTCACAGTTTATGTACTTGAAGATTAACCAAAATGTCTACTGAAAGTCTGATTTTTTTATTTTATTTTCAAGTTTGCATGGATACAACTGTCTATTTGTTTTTCCTTTTTAAAACTATACTTTGTTGAATAATTACAGTTTAACAATTCCTCCTATAAAACTACTTTCATTCCTTTCTTCTTCCAATCACTCAATTTTCACAACATTGATCTTATCCATCTAATTATAGTAAAACTGTGTATGTTATTCAAACTATTAAGATTTTAATAAGGTGTATGTTAACTGATTTTAAAAGAAAATATTTAAAGTTTGAAATTGTAATTCACTAAGCTTTTCTCTCAAATTTTGCTATAAATTGTTACTTTTCATACTAAAGAGATTAAATTTTCATTCTAAATATCAGTCTTCAACTTCACATAATAGTTACACAATCCAAGGGTTTACAAATCTTAAATTAAATGGTGACTGAGAGAATGTTCCTCTAAATTAAAATACTCTCAAAAATTAACCAAATCTTGAAAATAAAGCATAAAAACACATGTCCTCTCACACCATCCTTATAATTACAAAAAACCTATGTGTTCTTTCATACCATCCTTATAATCACAAAAAACCCCCCAAAAACTTCACTTTTATTGTACATATCCTTTTTTAATGCTTCCTGTGTATATATCCTTTTTTAAAAAGCGAAACAAAGAAAAGGCATCTAGGTACACCTTTTTGACTCAGTAGGTTTAAAATCTTTATGGATGCTACAGTGATAGAGCAGAGCTGATGTTCTGCCTTATATGAGTTAGATATGGAACAGTATATAGAAAACAGTGGATGATTAGTATCTTTATGTCCTTGGATGACTCAATCTTTGGGATCATCTTCTCTAAGGTGTCCTTAATTGGGAATGCGAAGATCATTACCTAAACTTAATAGCATCTGGATGCACCTCTCTGAATCATTGTTTCAGAAGGGTCACTTACTTGATGCCATAGTAAAAAGCCAAGCTGATATTACTCCTTGTCAAAGTGAAACATGGAAAGTACTAAATGCTATGCAACAGTATTCTGGAAATAGTATGGCAATCATCAAGTCATCTTGGTGGTGTTCTTTGTTATTTTTGCTTCTATTGTGCTTGTATTAGAACTTCCTTGTGAGCATTGAACTATAAATAAACTGACAACACTTTAGAACTATCCTATTTTGTAATGCTTGACTATTTGAAGAATTGACCAAACTTGAAATCTTTTTGAAAGCATTAATGACCATTTAACTAAAGGCCTTTGGTTGTGTGAGCCATGGCCGATTAACTGATTCATTAAAAATGTTGTACACTTCTTAAATTTAATATGCTAGACATGCATAGTAGAACGATGCAGAAACTTTGGTCTAGTTCTGAGTGAACAATGGATTTCCATTTAGTTCAAATTATTAGAAAAATAAGAAAAATGTTTTCTACCTTTATCTTTCTGTTTCTGCATTGCATTTTGATAGTAAAAGATATTGAACACGTTTAATTTTCAATGGGCCTAGAGTTGTTTCTGTTTTAAATCCTCATCAGAAAGGTTAGGTGGAGCGAGGGTAGTTGCAACAGCTGTAGTTCCCAGATGATGTAGGGAAAATCAAAGATGTTATCCAGAGATGGCATGATATTGATGGAATGGATCTCATCCTTACCCTTGGTAACTTTCAGATTGTATTCAGCTAGTTAAATTCTGTGGGTGAATTTGTTTTTTGGGTTATCCTGACCTTTTCTTTTTCTTTTTTGAATATATTTTGGACAAGGTGGCACTGGCTTCACCCCAAGAGACGTTACCCCTGAAGCTACAAAAAAGTTGATTCAGAGGGAAGCACCTGGTCTTTTGTATGTAATGATCTAAGAGAGTTTAAAGGTACCAACAATATTTTTTGGAAGTTATTAATTTATATTAATACATCATAGCTGCTTGTGTAACTATTTGAACTTTTCTACATATGAT